ATATCATTAGCATCAGGAAGACCCTGTGTAAATGTTGTAATTGCTGTGCCAGTACAAAAGGTATCTAGCACCGTTTTCAGCACCTGAATGCACCTGACCGAGACGAGCTGAGCTCTAGCTCACGGCTGCGTCACTGTCCAAAGTCCAATCAAGTTGGCGTTCGTACTCGTCAATGGCCTGCAACCGGCAACCACCAATTAAACCAAACGTGGCAAGACATTGCCAGGCACGGCAAAACGATGGAAAATGTATGACGTTGGTTTACTGTAGGTCACATTTATATTCAATATCATTATCATATACATTAGAATCATTAGTTTTGTGTGTACATATGTTGTATATTGTCTCATCTTATATACACAAGTTTGCACATCCACGCACGTGCTAAAGCAGCATCAGAATCTATCTGTCGAGATGTCGCGGCTTCGCGGACTCCGGTCCTGAGGCCAGTAGTAGTTTTTCCCAAGACCTTGGAGTCGATGGAAGAAACGACTCGTCATCGGGCCATCGAAAGTGTCATCAGTGTAATTTTGCTTCAGCTGTGCTGAAGGAAATCCAATAGACAAAAGACTACAAGCTGTCTCAGGATCAAAATGGTCTAAGTGTATAATTCTCACCAGAATCTTATGATCTGAAAGACTTTCAATACTATGCACTACTGCAATACTTTCACAATCCCCTTGTTGTACTGGGAATTCGCAAGGCGCCAGTCAAATTCGCCAGTGAGCTACCTCGGATGTTGGCCCGAGGCCCCGACCATTCATTTGGATTTGTCTGAAAAGGTCGTGCTTCTTGTGGAACACCTCCAGGGCCTTGTTGAAGAAACACTGAAGTATGCCGTAGGTAGATAATGGTAGATTCCAGATGTAGGTTGATGTGCCAGTCAGCGCGGCATATGTGACTCTGACTGTATGGTGACTGTGTGAAAGTTGAAATCAAATTCATAGTCGTGGCAGTCCTCTGCAACTAAGACAAAGCAAAAACTTGCAAAATTAGGCAGCACATGCCAGGAAAACAAAACTGCACTGTAGGGAACAGATTCTTGGGTATTCATGAATGTACGTGAGTGCAGAGATCCTACACATGGAGTACAAAATATCAACGTCTATGAAAGTTGTCCTAAGTACCACAAGCAAAAGGACCGGTGCCTGATACATTCGCTCCTTCAAATGATTCTCATCGAAGCCACAGAACAGGAACCTGGGTCATTTCTTGAAATCGTGCAAATGATGTCAACATGCATGATGGATCCAAACAGCTCTCGGTGCTCTTGGTACATCTTGGTACTCTTGGTGCTCTTCACATTTCATACTTGCTCAATATTTTTTCAGAACATAAGGTAGTCTCCCTGGCCGTTTCATAGCATAAGGGTGACCGTAAGGGTTGACTTCTGCTTCGGTAAACCATGGCTCGTAAACTATGGATCGTAAACCATGGCTCGTAAGGGTGTCTGAGGTGCGCACCCTGTTGCAGTTTCGCGGTCCCTGTGCTCATGCCAAAGTCCAGAGACAGAATCCTTCAGACCTCCAGTTTCGTGGACCACTGGCACAGTTCCGTATGCTTGAGCATACATCTGTGGAAGGCCACATGGTTCATATTGGGACGGCATCATGAGGAAGTCGCAGCCTGCTAGCATGCGGTGCTCGATCTTTGGGTCAAATCCAACGTAGCTACAGACCCGTCCTTTGTTGTGATTCTCGGCATCCGACAACTGGTTTGCATAGGTGTCGTCGCCTTTGCCCATCAGAATGATTTGCACGCGTCCTAGTACTCCACTGGATTCGTAGGTGAGTAACCACGGGATGATCTGTGTGATGAGGTGAACACCCTTCTGGTAGCACAAACGGCCGCAGAAGCCGATCAAAGCAGCTCCAGGATCTTCATGTAAACCCAAGGATCTCTGCAATTCCTTTTTGCACAGTGCCTTGCCTTCATCAAAGTTTCTGAGGCTATAGTTGGTCGGAATATGCGGGTCTGTCTTTGGGCTCCATTCGTCTGCGATACCATTCAGGATGCCAGCCATGCGCTGCTGGTGACCTTTCTGCTGAAGAATTTCATGTAGTCCTTGACCTCCTTCCGGGCTCTGAATCTCCGCAGCATAGTTTGGTGAGACCGTCAGAACTCTGTCACTTGCCAGGATTGCAGCCGACATGAGGTTCATGCAATCATCGCCCAAGTTCAAGTCCTGCGGATGCTGGTCTTGGAACATCCTTCACCAAGTTTCCCAGAATAAACCTACCATTTGGGGATGATATTTATCACCCATTTAGGCTAATATTGGAGATGGTTTATGGCATTGGCTTTACATGGCTTTACCACATTACTATTGCATACTGTTGCTTCCTCTGAACAGCAGGAAGGATTTCTGAAGAGTGTCACAGCTCCAGAAATGCCATGCTGACTCTGCAGAAAGTCCTCACCCTGCAGAAGGCCAATTGCCTCAGTCGAGTCTTTGCTGTACAACAGAACATGAAAATAAAATAGGAGCCTCTTCATATCGAGACAAAAGTCTTGAATTTACAAGAGGAATCTGTAAGAGGATCATGAAGGATGAAGATGACCATGATGACAATTGATACAAACAACAAATGTTTGAGATATGATCCATTGTCATCCATTGTCAGGTCACATTACATGGTTGTTTCTTCACACTGTGATGCCAGGATGAGTGGCATCTGTTCTCATTCAGCTGCATCCCCATTTCTAAGCTCTGGACATCCGGTGGAAGTCCTAGATAGCTGTCAATTGGGAACTTGCTCAAGCGATACTTGCCCTCAGTGGACGACTATGTCAATAAATTCATCATTCAGTACCCGGTGTCATCAAACATGGCTAGCTGGGAAATACCCGAACTAAATGGAGATTTATGGCTGGGAAAATCATCTATAAATGGGTGATTTTCCATTGCCACGTTTAATTACCGTAGGGTAGATCCTACTGCGGCAGTGTAAAAGCATCAATATCAGTCAGTCGTGCATGTTGAGCTTCTTGCCTGATAGCCAATGTTGTGGATCACGAACACGCATCTGGAATTTCTGTAGGTGTTGTTGCGGCGGTACTTGTAGAGATGGTAGATCGGCAACAAACCAGTCTGCCAGTCGTTGGCGATAAACAGAACATCCTGGAGACAAACCGACAGTGGCAAAAACAGGTGACACCTGGCACTTCTTAAGCCCCTCTTCACCCCAGGGCTCCAGGGACTGACTCTATTTTGCTAGCCCCTCCGAATCTCCAAATATTTTATTAGCTCTGCTATTGGCCTTGCGATAAACCTCGCTATTAGCCTTGCTATTAGCCTGGCTATTAGTCTTGCCATTAGCCTTGCGATAAACCTTGCTATTAGCCTTGCTATTAGCCTGGCTATTAGCCCTGCTATTGGCCTTGCGATAAACCTTGCTATTAGCCTTGCTATTAGCCTGGCTATTAGTCTTGCTATTAGCCTTGCGATAAACCTTGCTATTAGCCTTGCTATTAGCCTGGCTATTAGCCCTGCTATTGGCCTTGCGATAAACCTTGCTATTAGCCTTGCTATTAGCCTGGCTATTAGTCTTGCTATTCGCCTTGCGATAAACCTTGCTATTAGCCTTGCTATTAGCCTGGCTATTAGTCTTGCTATTAGCCTTGCGATAAACCTTGCTATTAGCCTTGCTATTAGCCTTGCTATTAGCCTGGCTATTAGTCTTGCTATTAGCCTTGCGATAAACCTTGCTATTAGCCTGGCTATTAGCCTGGCTATTAGCCTTGCTATTAGCCTGGCTATTAGCCTTGCTATTGGCCTTGCGATAAACCTTGCTATTAGCCTTGCTATTAGCCTGGCTATTAGTCTTGCTATTAGCCTTGCGATAAACCTTGCTATTAGCCTTGCTATTAGCCTGGCTATTAGTCTTGCTATTAGCCTTGCGATAAACCTTGCTATTAGCCTTGCTATTAGCCTTGCTATCAGTCTTGCTATTAGCCTTGCGATAAACCTTGCTATTAGCCTTGCTATTAGCCTGGCTATTAGCCCTGCTATTGGCCTTGCTATTAGCCTTGCTATTAGCCTTGCTATTAGTCTTGCTATTAGCCTTGCGATAAACCTTGCTATTAGCCTTGCTATTAGCCTTGCTATTAGCCTGGCTATTAGTCTTGCTATTAGCCTTGCGATAAACCTTGCTATTAGCCTTGCTATTAGCCTGGCTATTAGTTGCTATCAGCCTTGCTATTAGCCTGGCTATTAGCTTGCTATTAGCCTGGCTATTAGCTATTAGCCTGGCCTATTAGCCTTGCTATTAGCCTTGGCCTATTAGCCTTGCTATTAGCCTGGCTATTAGTCTTGCTATTAGCCTTGCGATAAACCTTGCTATTAGCCTTGCTATTAGCCTGGCTATTAGTCTTGCTATTAGCCTTGCGAAAAACCTTGCTATTAGCCTTGCTATTAGCCTGGCTATTAGCCCTGCTATTGGCCTTGCGATAAACCTTTCTATTAGCCTTGCTATTAGCCTGGCTATTAGTCTTGCTATTAGCCTTGCGATAAACCTTGCTATTAGCCTTGCTATTAGCCTTGCTATTAGCCTTGCTATTAGCCTGGCTATTAGCCCTGCTATTGGCCTTGCGATAAACCTTGCTATTAGCCTTGCTATTAGCCTGGCTATTATATTAGTCTTGCTATTAGCCTTGCTATTCGCGTTGCGATAAACCTTGCTATTAGCCTTGCTATTAGCCTGGCTATTAGTCTTGCTATTAGCCTTGCGATAAACCTTGCTATTAGCCTTGCTATTAGCCTGGCTATTAGCCCTGCTATTGGCCTTGCGATAAACCTTGCTATTAGCCTTGCTATTAGCCTGGCTATTAGTCTTGCTATTCGCGTTGCGATAAACCTTGCTATTAGCCTTGCTATTAGCCTGGCTATTAGTCTTGCTATTAGCCTAGCGATAAACCTTGCTATTAGCCTTGCTATTAGCCTGGCTATTAGCCCTGCTATTGGCCTTGCTATTAGCCTTGCTATTAGCCTGGCTATTAGTCTTGCTATTAGCCTTGCGATAAACCTTGCTATTAGCCTTGCTATTAGCCTGGCTATTAGTCTTGCTATTAGCCTTGCGATAAACCTTGCTATTAGCCTTGCTATTAGCCTGGCTATTAGCCCTGCTATTGGCCTTGCGATAAACCTTGCTATTAGCCTTGCTATTAGCCTGGCTATTAGCCCTGCTATTGGCCTTGCTATTAGCCTTGCTATTAGCCTGGCTATTAGTCTTGCTATTAGCCTTGCGATAAACCTTGCTATTAGCCTTGCTATTAGCCTTGCTATTAGCCTGGCTATTAGCCTTGCTATTAGCCTGGCTATTAGTCTTGCTATTAGCCTTGCGATAAACCTTGCTATTAGCCTTGCTATCAGCCTTGCTATTAGCCTGGCTATTAGCCTTGCTATTAGCTTTGCTATTAGCGTTGCGATTAGCTTGGCTATTAGCGTTGCGATTAGACTTGCTATTAGCCTGGCGATAAACCTTGCTATTAGCCTTGCTATTAGCTTGGCTATTAGCGTTGCTATTAGCCTGGCTATTAGCCTTGCTATTGGCCTTGCGATAAACCTTGCTATTAGCCTTGCTATTAGCCTGGCTATTAGTCTTGCTATTAGCCTTGCGATAAACCTTGCTATTAGCCTTGCTATTAGCCTGGCCTTGCTATTAGCCTTGCGATTTGCTATTAGCCTTGCTATTGGCCTTGCTATTAGCCTTGCGATTAACCTTGCTATTAGCCTTGCTATTAGCTTTGCTATTAGCGTTGCGATTAGCCTCTCTGTTAGCCCTGTGATTAGCCCTGCTATTAGCCTTGCCATTAGCCTTGCTGTTAGCCATGCGATTAGCCTTGCTATTGGCCTTGCTATTAGCCTTGCGATTAACCTTGCTATTAGCCTTGCTATTAGCTTTGCTATTAGCGTTGCGATTAGCCTTGCTATTAGCCTTGCTATTAGCCTTGCGATTAACCTTGCTATTAGTCTTGCTTTCAGCTTGGCTATTAGCGTTGCGATTAGACTTGCTATTAGCCTTGCGATTAGAATTGCTAGTAGCCTTGCTATTAGCTTTGCTTGTAGCCTTTCGATTAGCCCTGCTATTAGCCTTGCGATTAGCCTTGCTATGAGCCTTGCTATTGGCCTTGCTGTTAGCCCTGCGATTAGCCTTGCGATCAGCCTTGCGATTAGCCTTGCTATTAGCCTTGCTATTAGCCCTGCTATTAGCCTTGCGATTAGCCTTGCTATGAGCCTTGCTACTAGCCTTGCGATTAGAATTGCTATTTGCCTTGCTATTAGCCTTGCTGTTAGCCCTGTGATTAGCCTTGCTATTAGCCTTGCTATTAGCCTTGCTGTTAGCCTTGCTTTTTAGCCTTGCGATTAGCCTTGCTATCTAAGAATATCGAAGTTTAAGGTCTGCTTCCTTCCGCTTGCTGTTTTCCAAAACAGTCTAATTTGATCTATATATCGTTCTATCTAATTCAAAAGCAGCTCTCTGTTTCAAGGTGTAGCTGTCCTGCCCAAAGGTTTGGCCCCGAATGTTTAAAATCAGTGGGGCTTCCAGCGCAGCAACCGTAAGAAGAGAGAAGCGGAACAGGTTGTCAAGGTACTCCTTGCCAGTGTGAGGGTCGCAATACAGACCCCCACGCCTGAAACAATCATGACCAACAAAGATGTAGTCTGTGCCATTGCCATCACCAAGATCTTGATAGAGATGGAAGAACTGAACCTCGTGCTCTCTTCCATCTAACCAAATCTTGGCGTAGCCGACGTAGTGAGCACCATCATAGGCGTCATAGCGAGGCGACACAACCATTGTGCGATGTCCTCGCATGGCAAATTCATAGCCATACGAACCTGCCACCATCGCAAGGCCACCTGTTTTTGACCACGGGTTCACCTCAGAGGACACAACCACCACAGGTCTGTTTAAGTGGCGCGATGTGTACTTGGGTCTTCGATCTTCCAGTTCATCAAGTTCAAGTTGATGCCGGAGATCAGCTTTGCCCTCTGGATCTTGAAGAAGTGAATCCAATGCAGACAAGGAAAACACCCGCTCCATCGTTTCTGGGCCAGAGTCGGAGTTGGGCTCGGAGAGGGCCTCAAGTTGCACACGTATATTATATTTACTCTCAAGAAGCTTCAAGCATTTCGTCAAAAAAAACTGATTTCGATGAATTCGGAGCTCTTAGGAGCTCTTTCCCAAAGCCTTGCAATGACCCCCCCCCCGCCTTCGTCCTTGGCGTCTGTGTCCCAGATGTTGGCGTGGTATGGCCCTGGGCAACAAATGTTTCACTCTGCGAATGTGAGCAGCTCAAGGGAAAGCGAAAAAAAATCCGACAATCATATACAATCATGGACAATCTATCTCAGCAATGAAAAAAGAGCAATCAATTCAATAGCCAGCGCGTTTCGCCCACCTCTTTCCGACTGTCTTTGTCCTCAGTTGCCAAAAAAAGGACCATCTGCCACCAGGCCTCAACCCTCTACGGCACACAACGATGCTGCCAAGCGACACCGTTGTGATGCCCCTGGGAACAGCGAAACAAGCTGCAAAAATGGATTCCAATGTCTCAATTTATCAGCCAGCAAACGTAAATTCCAGCCTTTCCTGTACTATGACACTATGATCTGACACTGGACTCACATTGGTTCAGTATCCAAGTGCTTTGTATGCGGAATACGGGCCAACTTGAAAGCTCTGATCTCGCACCTCTGCCCAGTCTTGAAGCGACAAGTTCGACGCCTCCCACGACACTTGAAGGCAACAATGTTGAAAGCACATGCGATGCATCGGCACCCGTGGCCCAGGTGGCTCAGTCAAGGTGATTTTGCAGGATATGTGTGGTGTTCCTGAAAACCTGAAAGAGCCTGAAAACCTGGAGATATCGAAAAAAAACTAGAACGGACTGCCAGTTACTCTCAAAGCCAATGAAGCTGACCTCTTGCACATCGTCCTGTCGCAAAATGTCAGAACACTGCTTTCCCTTGGGGATGTTTGAAGTGAGATCTAGATGTGCCCCGGATATTGCAGTCTTCTGTTGAAATGGAATGCCGTGCAGGACCTGCAGGAGACTCTCGAGATACTCTCGTCTATTCCACACAGTCGTAGCATCATGGAGTGCATGCTTCATGCTCTCACCTGCGGCAAGTCTTTGCGCTGAGCCTGGCCAAGAGTCATCCAGAATCGCAGCGATTCCATTGGAATCACAGTACATTTCAAAACTATTTCACCATGGGACATTCAATAGGACAACAGGGACGTACTATAATCATGGACTATCCTTGGATGTCCTTGGCTTAAGTCCGAGTGCACAAGCAATCGCAGGCTCCATCAAAGAAACCGACAGGGCAGCAAGCGAAATCATTGTGGAATCCCTGATCTTGTGTCAAGCTCGGCTCCATGAAAAGTGGACGGTGACATGCTGATCATGACATCGAACCTGTCCAAAACTTTACAAATCTATAAAAGTCTATAGAAATCCATAGAAAACCATGGAAAAACATAGAAATCCATAGAAATCCATGGAAAACTTATATCAATTTCACACCCGCGCACTCTGCCTCCATCTTGTCAAGGGCGGCACAGACTTCCTGAGTCTGTGGCTTGGCCTGGGTCCACTCTCAACTGAAACCGATAAATCAGCTATCGTCATCTACTGGTTGGTGGTTTCAACCCCTCTGAAAAATATTAGTCAGCAGCTGGGATTATTCTTCCCAATATATAGAAAAATGAAAAATGTTCCAAACCACCAGCCAGTCTATAAATTTATCTGTGTAAAACACCTTCAAAGGTCTGGACGGGCAAGTCTGGTAACAAGGACAGGGAGCCCTGAGCAAGGCGTAAGTGGCGTAAGTGCACAAACGCTGAGGCAATTCTTGCGGAAACCAAGTGTTCTACAGCTCTACAGATTCTACAGTTTTGACACGCACAAACGACGCCCACTAAATTCACTAAATTACATCACCGTAGACCCCAAACAGTGGGTGGATTCAAGAAGTGTTTTGAGGAACAGGAACAGGGTCAAAAACACGAGAAAACATTATACAAGAACCCCTAACAGTACACTGTTTGGGGAAAATGCAAAATGAGACCAGCCAAGGAAAACAAGAAGAGAGACAAGATGGGAGACAAGCTGGGAGACAAGCTAGGACAAGGCCTCAGGAAGGTGGACACACCATCCAACACAAAGAAACAAGAAGGGAGACAATGGGAGACAAGGCCTCGGGAAGGCGGACACACCATCCAACACAGGCACACATGTGGGGAGACAGTGCTTGACAATGGGAAACAATGGGAGAAAAGGGGAGACAAGACCTCGCCACCCAACAGATGTGGGGAGACAATGGGAGACAATGGGACACAAGGGGAGACAAGACGTCGGGAAGGCGGACACAGCATCCAACACAGGCACACATGCGGCGCGACACTGGGAGACAACAGGAGACAATGGGAGACAAGGGGAGACAAGGGGAGACAAGGGGAGACAAGGCCTCGGGAAGGCGGACACACCATCCAACACAGCACACATGTGGGGGGACAGTGTTTGACAATGGGAAACAATGGGAGAAAATGCGATAAAAAGGGAGACAACACCTCGCCATCCAACACATGTGGGGAGACAATGGGAGACAAGGGGGGACAAGACGTCGGAAGGCGGACACAGCATACAACACAGGCACACATGTGGGGAGACAATGGGAGACAAGACCTCGAAAAGGCGGACACACCATCCAACACAGGCACACATGCGGCGCGACAAGGGGGAGACAACGGGAGACAATGGGAGACAAGGGGAGACAAGGGGAGACAAGGCCTCGGGAAGGCGGACACACCATCCAACAAAGGGAAACAAGACGGGAGACAATGGGAGACAAGGGGGAAACAAGACCTCGGGAAGGTGGACACACCATCCAACATAAGCACACATGTGAGGAGACAAGGGGAGACAAGACCTCGGGAAGGCGGACACACCATCCAACACAGGCACACAGATGTGGGGAGACAAAGGGAGACAAAGGGAGACAAAGGGAGACAAGACCCTCGGGAAGGCGGACACACCATCCAACAAAGGGAAACAAGAAGCGGTACAATGGGAGACAAGGGGAGACAAGACCCTCGGGAAGGCGGACACGCCATCCAACAAAAAGCGAAACAATAGGAGGTACAATGGGAGACAAAGGGAGACAAGACCCTTGGGAAGGCGGACACACCATCCAACAAAGGGAAACTAGAAGGGGTACCATGGGAGACAAAGGGAGACAAGACCCTCGGGAAGGCGGACACACCATCCAACAAAGGGAAACAAGAAGGGGCGCAATGGGAGACAAGGGAGACAAGACCCTCGGGAAGGCGGACACAAACAAGAAGGGGATAGAAGGGGTACAATGGGAGACTAGGAGAGACAAGACCCTCGGGAACGTGGACACACCATCCAACAAAGGGAAACAAGAAGGGGTACAATGGGAGACAAAGGGGGGTACCATGGGAGACAAAGGGAGACAAGATCCTCGGGAAGGCGGACACACCATCCAACAAAGGGAAACTAGAAGGGGCACAATGGGAGACAAAGGGAGACAAGACCCTCGGGAAGGCGGACACACCATCCAACACCAAGGCGGACACCTTAAGATAGCATTAAGAACCCCTAACAGTACATTGTTTGGGGAAAAATGCGTCACATCTTTCTTCAGTGTAAGTAGCACCACTCTTCGATGAAATCTGTGCAGTGTGAGTACAGGACCAGTATATACATGGCAAATCAAATCTTTCTGCTTTGAAAAGCGGTCCTGAATGCAACTAAATTAAACAGCATCTATACAAATGCGCTGCCTGGCATCCGTTGTAGTTCAGCATTGGTGGTTCCTGGCAAATCTTCTGCAACTACTTCAAGCCCTTGTTTTTTTTTTACGGCTTTGCAGTCAGTGCCTCCATCAGTCTGGCTTGAACCTGAACCGCCGGAAAATTAAAGGATTACGGCCTACAATCCAGTTCCTTAGGCAATGGTTTAGTTGGGCAAAGTTCCAACCATTTCTTTGACGACGCCCAATGAATGCCAAGATTTGGGATGCGCTTTCTCACTGATCAATCCCTGAAATCAAACGGTTCGGATGCTGAATAGAGATTGGCCATGAAAAATCATGACGTTCCCAGTAAGAGCATCTAAATCTACAAGCCATCTTTGTGCTGGGGGTTTACCAATGGGTGCACCATGTCACCATGTCGCCGCATTTTTTGTTGTCACTTCACTGCAGTTGTAGGATCAGCCAGTTGTCCTACCATCAGAAATATTTTACGCTAATACTTATCCTGGTTTCATCCTAACATCACAAATCATCCCAGATATGTGAACCTTAAAGCTTCTCACTAACCTAAGAACCTATTCTAGAGTTTGGTGCAATGCATCAAATTTCCTGTTGAATCTCCACCGATGCAACATGTTTGACCTTTTTGTACGTGGGCTTCTGCAAGCAAAGGTAATTACCCCAAAATCCAATGGTTTGTTACCTTGGGAGTGCCACCCCAGTACTTATATGGGTTGCGTCAAAATGATTGAACCCCCAAAATGGATCATTTTAGTGGCTGGTTACAGATCCTACAGATCCTACAGTAACCAGCCATTTGCATTCCAACACCAGGTATTGCGTCACAATGAAAACCTGCAGGACCTGCAGGATCATGCGGCTCCAGCCACTCCAGTGCGCACCTGGGGTTGAGTGTAATGGATGGAGCTAGCCTTTCCGGCCATCGATTCACATCCTGTCGAGGCCTCAGACGACCATGGCTAAAGCAACTGTGATGACTCTGTGATGACTGCTATGTATTTAATTGATGTCAATGTCCGATTCGCTGAAACTGTCGAAACTGTAATCTCGTGAAAATCATGATTTCCAATCGGCATTCGGACCTCTTTTTTCGGTGGCAAAGACTTCGAAGATCTCGCCTGCAAGATGCTTCGAATATCTTCAAATGTTGGCAATGTCGCGCCTCTTAAGACACATTCCTTGCTGCACTCTGCTCAAGAGGACAAGGGATCGCAAGCAAAGGACAGTAAGAACAAGAATGAAGAATGGTGGAATATTCCTTACACTCCATCACCTCACGGTACTGTAGGGTTTTACACACTCAATAGAATGCATCCGTATCTGTATTTGCTGGTGTTTTGCACAGCAACAGCAGGCGGTCCCAAGTGCAGAATGTTGACCATTCCGCGATCTCTTGAGCTTCAACGCTTGTACATCGTTCGTTTACTCTACCACTTCCGCGATCCCTTCCGCGCTCGCTTCAACGCTTGTGGTTTTAGATTCAGGAGGCACAAGTTGGATCAACATGATCAACTTAGGTTAATCCATGTTAATCCTCTGTGAAATCTTTCATGGACTTTTTGGCCACCTCTCAACTAAGTTTGTGCGCAAATTGGGCAGGTTCTGTGCCTGCCTGTGGGGCACCTCTAGCAAACTTGGGCTGTGCTACCTGGCGAGCCTCAAATCAGAAACTGATCGCAACCCAAAGTCTGCCGTTTTTGGGTGAATCTCCCATTAAAACATAAATTTGGGGGGATTTCCCAGCTAGCCATGTTTGATGACACCAGATGGTAAATCTCAGTGCACCATGGCGCCACTCTACATGACCGAGGCAGAGACCCTCGCTACATTTGAGACAACTGCCTTGCACATCGCCACATGGGCACACAGGTGCTCTGAAATTTTCCAAAGTTTCGGGAAGGTTGCCTTGGCAATGTTTGAGGTTTGCTATGTTTTCAAGTGCCTGTGGGCTCGTCTGCAAAGGTGGGCTCGTCTGCAAAGGTTGGCTCTTTTCAGCCTGGCACAAAGCGGAAAAGCTGCTACAAAGCTGTAAAGCATTGTAAAGCAGTGAAGTTACAACCTTGCCTCTGGCTCCGGCAGCAAGGACATTGAGCCCTGGGGGCATCACTAAGTCAAATCTGTTTGCTGTCTTTCTACTTGTGGAGTTGCACTTTCCACGGCCAACTCTGCTATCTCTTCTGATATCTTCTGATGTTTTGGTCATAGGCCTTCCGCTGCGCCGTGAGCAAGGTCCCGTGTTCCTGTTGTTTGAACAGTTTGCACAGCGATGACTGAATCTGCAAATCGATGACTAGAAAGCGATCAAGAAAAAACATCGATTGGAATCACATCAAAGTCTGTCAAAGTTGTAAAGCCCCCGCAAACTCCATAGGCCTCTTGAGATCGTTCTTGAGGCCATCTTGTAGCCTCCTAATCGGAAGCAGAACGCCAACTAGTACAGCGAATGTGTGAAAGCCGCTCCAGATGCCATTCACATCCATTCACTGTACCTGTTCTTGGATGGCTCTCATCTTTGCAGCCTGCCCATTGCTCGCTACTAAAGCAGTGAAGTTATAACCTTGCCTCTGGCTCCGGCAGCAAGGACATTGAGCCCTGGGGGCACCACTAAGTCAAATCTGTTTGCTGTCTTTCTACTTGTGGGGTTGCACTTTCCACGGCCAACCCTGCTATCTCTTCTGATATCTTCTGATGTTTTGGTCATAGGCCTTCCGCTGCGCCGTGAGCAAGGTCCCGTGTTCCTGTTGTTTGAACAGTTTGCACAGCGATGACTGAATCTGCAAATCGATGACTAGAAAGCGATCAAGAAAAAACATCGATTGGAATCACATCAAAGTCTGTCAAAGTTGTAAAGCCCCCGCAAACTCCATAGGCCTCTTGAGATCGTTCTTGAGGCCATCTTGTAGCCTCCTAATCGGAAGCAGAACGCCAACTAGTACAGCGAATGTGTGAAAGCCGCTCCACATGCCATTCACATCCATTCACTGTACCTGTTCTTGGATGGCTCTCATCTTTGCAGCCTGCCCATTGCTCGCTAGGCAAAAAGGCCAGCAAAAGGGCTGGTGTTTCAACCAGTGCTCACTAGAGAAACTTGGCAAAAGAGCTCCCACTAAGCAGGCCCTCGCAGGTGGTTTCATGTGTCTGTATTTTCACATTCACAGATAATTCAGGAGGGTGCATTGGTTGCAGCGATTGATTCTCGATGTGCCTGAAGTGCTGCTGCCTGTGCTTCTTGCTGTGGCCTCATTTCTGCCTGCTGCTTGACAAGTTTGAAAAAAGATGCAAAACAAAAGAGAAAGAAGACCTCATTTGATGTTGTGGTGAGTCTGAAATAGTCTGAATACCTTTCCAAAACTCATCCAAGCCTCTTCTGCTTCCCTCTGCATCCTAGCCGCCTGTCCAAATCCGATGTTTGCTCCGTCGCGGGCCAAGGGGGCCAGGGGGAATGGGATGGTGCAGGCGATGGTGCCATCAGTTGCACAAACCCATAGCACCTGTTTCATCGTTGTTGACAACGTGGTCAGCTGCGGTGACAGGTTAGCCCAGGTTAGCAAGATTGTACGGTTGGCAATTTCAAATATCCGGCAAAAACCTACAAAATGGGGTGTAACATGGTGTAACTATGTGGTTTGTATTGACTACTGTAAATACGAATGACTATGGTCCTATGGTTGACCACATCTGGCTTCGCCTCTTCTGCCAAGGCTCTTCTCACAGCGGCCTCTGAAAATTGCCAGGGCCAATGACACAGCAACATGCAGAAACGACATGGAACCTCCAAATAGAACAAAAAGGACAGTCTGACAGTAAATTCCTCGAGAAATCATTTCGGAAATCCGTTCGATTTTTTACAGATCTGATGTGCCTCTTTTTCTTCCAAAGCCTGAATCCTTGCAGCCTGCGCTGGCTGTGGCCAGATTTGGCAGAATTTGAAGATCAACTGATTGGAGGGCGCTGCACAGCCATGACGACTAGGACGATGTCGACCTGTACCTTCACTTCCTATGTGCCTCTGTGTGTGTGTATATGCAATGCAATGTGACGTGATGTAATGTAGTGTAATGTGGTGTGAGGCTGTGTAATGTTGTGTAATGTAGGGTAGCGTGATGGAATGTGATGCGATGTAATGTAGTGTCTGTAGTGTAGTGTGTAATGTACTGTGATGTGATGTAATGTAGTCTAATCTATACACATGTCTCTCGTGTGTGTGTGTGTGACCATGTTATGCATATATATATACACATACATGTATGTATACTTATTTACATTTATGTGGTACAAATACATGTATATGCATATATATATATATACACATATATAATATACATAAATGTATATATATACATACAGTTATGTATATGTACATATATATATATATACAGCAATATATGCTCATATACGTAGAAAATTATATGCATATTGCAAGTATGTGTATATTACAAATATGTATATATGATACATACATATACACAAATATACGTATACATATATATATATACGTATATATATATATACATATATAGATATATATATATATTACGTATATATATATATTACGTATATATATATATATTACGTATATATGCGAACATGTATGTATATATCATATTGTATCTCTCTTATATAATAGCTGAACTCCACCTGCGCTTCTGCAGCTGCTGCAGCTGCGGCTTCCTCCTCTGCCTTTGCTCGTTCAGCCTGGTATTTGGTAAACCGAATGCCATAGACCACCCCCAAGTCATGACCTGGGTATAAAGCATCCCCAAATGGTGGGGTTGGCCTGCCCACATTACTCAGTTTCCCAGTTTCCAATCTGAATCTAAACACACGGTGCAGGTCGAAACTTGGAAGCTTTGTCAAACATTGCCTCTTCCATTGCCTGCATCCTGGCAGCCTCTACCTTGGAACACGTCCAGTGTCCTTCTTCGCTTGAAACAATCGGAGAAATGGTGATGTCTCCTGCCTGCAACTGTTCATCTTGGATCTCCTACCAGATTTTTTCTCGTGGCAAGAGCAGTCACAGAGCAAGCGACCCTCATGCATTTTTTTCTTCAAACAACTTCAGAAAGACCAAAACGGCAACGGCTCCTTTGGCTGCCAAGATCGTCCAGCACTACGGTCCTCAGAAAATCCGTCACAATATGTTGGAACTGTTCAAGGATTGCAGAGTTCCGAAGCAAAAAAATGCGATTTTGTATGACAATCATTGGCCGCAAAAGAACTCGGCTGAGGTGATGAAGGACCGACAATCCATCAATTTGATTTTGCGCACCTTGTTGGATCCCCGTCTCCTCCTTCTACACAGTGAATGTGAACTCTTACCATCCTGCACCAAGACTTCCCCCCAAACAAGTCTACCAAAATTTCAGTCCAGCCTGCCTCACGGAAGTCACATCGCGCCAGGCGCTCTACTAACTTCAATTACAGTAGCACGTTGCGTTTGAAAATCGTGAAGCAAAAAAAAGGTAAACCACTGGGAAAGCCATAAACATGACCGGAACATCATGCCGTCCTGACTTGATTCTGCTCCGAAGTGAAACAAAAAAGAAAATTGAAAAAACAAAAACAAAAAGGAAAAAGAAAAGAAAACAAAGGAAGAAGAAAGGACTAATTGAACAAAAAAGGAAATAAACGGAATTCAAAATTGGGTTTAAATTCATTTGTGACTTATATAATTCAGAATTCAATTGCATTTAATTTAGTTTAATTCTACTGCTTTGGGACACGGGCAAAAAGCAAACTGACTGCAGAAAGCAACGGTTCAATCACCTTGGACAATAAATGATATGGCAACTGCAAGAAACACGGGCACTACAGGTTGAATTGTCTTCATCAATTTTGCCCATTGCGTGAAGGTACAGAACAATATTGTTTGGTGTACGTCAAGTTGAATGCATTTTCAGATATGGTTACAAGTTATCACCTTTGGGGGGGCCTATCGCTCTACATGGTTTGGTGCGTTTTCTCAGCACAACTGCGCCCCTACTAAAGTAGTTTACGTTTATTCTGACCGTATCTCATGTATGTATATATCTATTTAGATAGAGTGTGCATGTATATATATATAAATAATATATATTTATTAATATATATATAATTATATATATATATATACATACATATTTATATTTATTAATATATATAATTATAAATATATATATACACATACATATATACAAATACATATACATATATATATATAGATATACATATATATATAGATATACATATATATATATAGATATACATATATATATATGTATATATACATATATACATATATACATATTCATTCACACTATGTGGCAAATGCCGTCCGGATCATTACCACCTAGATTCAATCCAAGTGTTTTGACATGTTGCAATCATACCTATACATGTATTGAACTGGGCCAAGTGGATATTTAAGACAGAAAAATCAGTAAAAAAACAAAAATGGAGCACAATTACGACAAACTATATGTATATATATATATATATTTAGTATATAGTATATACAGAGTTACAAATATGTAATTCTACATACTTTTATGGTTCAACACGGACACGGTTTGAAACAGTTCCAGAATAGTTTCAGAAGCATGATTTAGATGTCTGTCGAAATAGTTCAGAACAGTTCCCAACGGTTCCGACCTATTACGCCCATGCCATTTAAACATACTTCAGAACGGTTCCGAACGGTTCCGAACGGTTCCGAACAGTTCCGAACTATAAAAACCCCGAACTATTTGGAGCTATTTGGAACTAATCCGTTTCTTGGCGTCAATATAGTTCAGAACGGTTCCAAACAGTTCCGAACTATTCATCACGTCAATATAGTTCAGAATGGTTCCGAACGGTTTCAAACTATATCTGCAAACAACCCCTTTTGAATTTGATGGGCAGGATTCGTGGTAAATGAATGTAGATGACCTATTTGACTTGCAGTCTGCCAGCATCAGTAACTGCACGTTGATGTGTGTGGAGCAGCTGGTACCTAGAATGCAGCATGCACGATTTGATTAAGGCCTCACAGCGAGGCTGGTACTCTCTACAAAATAGCGATGATTGCAGAGTGCCTAAGTCTCAAGTGGTTGAATCATGGTCCAGGTAATTTGGCATTGGTTCAAGAAGATGTTCCGGTCACTGTGGCGCAGCAAAGCTCAAGTTTGGAAACCCCGACAAAGCTAACGAAGTACACATTTTGGATTGGGGGAGCACAGCAAGCAATATTATAAATACATCCGGCCTGTCATAAGTCCGGGCCAGTTTAGAAGACTCCGGACCGCGTGTGGCCGTGCAAGCTTGCAAGCGAGTTCAGCCTAATTTATAAATAATTCCGGCCAATTTATAAATAGTTCCGGCTGGTTTATAAATTAAAATAGTTCCGGCTGGTTGACCTATAAGTAGTTCCAGGCCAAAAACCCGTACAGAGAGAGCCTAACTTATTCCGCGAGCGACAACAGATCTCTTAACAACCACGACAAAACAACCCTTTGCGGCCTCACTAGGTACTTGAACATGATCGACATTGCCCTAGAAGGTACCTGTGTGCTTGTGTGTGTGTGTGTGCGCTTGTTCCATGTCCCTTAAGGCTGCACTGCGCCCCCTTGCGGCTGCAATTGCGTTTTCTATGTTTTCCTTACTTTCACCTTGCGCTTTGGCTCGACACGTTTCTTTTGGTTTATGACGACTTTCCTGGCAGCTAAGCCATGTCAATGGAGTTGTATCAAACTGCTGCCACAGGCGATAACATCATATGACTAAATTTCACAAATGATGTATATTGCTACGATGAGCATTGTGATTCTTATGCTTGTGAAAAACCGACAACTCACTGCAGAATGCAGCGTGCAGCCCTGAGCTCACCTAATATTTAAAGACTTTGTTCAAACCCACCTGAGATCCAAACATGTTTCGTAAGTGGCGCTGTGTTTGCAAACCCTTTTGAATCCACTCATTTAAACTCGTTTATAAAACTTCAAAGCCAGTGGCTTGTAATTCTTCGGTATATCTTTGAGGGTAATCGCGGCGCATGAACAGATCCAAACCTTAAACCTGGCATATAGGTCTTCACTTTCAAATGCAAAACAAACAAGTGAATGACAATTTTCCATGGTGCATCCTCTTCTTCTGCCAGATTGGATGTATGAATGCATTATTGTTGCGTCTATGGATTTATGGGCTATGGGCTGATAATATTAGTGTGCCATTTGGTCTTCACTTTTGCAGCTGGGACTGATCCCCATTCATTTTTCAATAATTTCCACAAATACGATGCAAATAGTTCCAGCCTGTTACAAATAGTTCCAGAGCTAAAGGGTCCAAAACAGAATTTAGTGGATAAACAGGCCAACCGGACTGCTAATGTATATATCTACAATAGCTGAACTCCACCTGTGCTTCTGCAGCTGCTGTAGCTGCGGCTTCCTTCTCTGCCTTTGCTCGTTCAGCCTGGTATTTGGTAAACCGAATGCCATAGACCACCCCCAAGTCATGACCTGGGTATAAAGCATCCCCAAATGGTGGGGTTGGCCTGCCCACATTACTCAGTTTCCCAGTTTCCAATCTGAATCTAAACACACGGTGCAGGTCGAAACTTGGAAGCTTTGTCAAACATTGCCTCTTCCATTGCCTGCATCCTGGCAGCCTCTACCTTGGAACACGTCCAGTGTCCTTCTTCGCTTGAAACAATCGGAGAAATGGTGATGTCTCCTGCCTGCAACTGTTCGGCTTGGATCTCCTACCAGATTTTTTCTCGAGCAGTCACAGAGCAAGCGACCCAAGTGTTTTTTTTTGGTCAAACAACTTCAGAAAGACCAAAACGGCAACGGCTCCTTTGGCTGCCAAGATCGTCCAGTACTACGGTCCTCAGCAAATCCGTCACAATATGTTGGAACTGTCAAGGATTGCAAAGTTCCGAAGCAAAAAAATGCGATTTTGTACCACAATCGTTGGCCGCAAAAGAACTCGGCTGAGGTGATGAAGGACCGACAATCCATCAATTTGATTTTGCGCACCTTGTTGGATCCCCGTCTCCTCCTTCTAGACTGTGATTGTGAACTCTTGCCATCCTGCACCAAGATTTCCCCCCAAACAAGTCTCCCCAAAATTTCAGTCCATTCTGCCTCACGGAAGTCGCACCGCGCCAGGAGCTCTACTAACTTCAATTACAGTAGCACGTTGCGTTTGAAAATCGTGAAGCAAAAAAAAAGGTAAACCACTGGCAAAGCCACAAACATGACCGGAACATCATGCCGTCCTGACTTGATTCTGCTCCGAGGTCGGAAACCTTCCACATCAAGGCCAGATGATCAAGAAAGGAAACAAAAGAAGACCGTGACACAAAAAGGAAAATTGAAAAAGCAACGAAGGAAGAAGAAAGGACTAATTGAGCAAAAAAGGTAACAAACGAAATCCAGAACTGGATTTAAATTGATTCGTGACTTAATTCAGAATTCAAATGCATTTAATTTAGTTTAATTCTACTGCTTTGGAACATGGGCAAAAAGCAAACTGACTGCAGAAAGCAACGGCTCAATCACCTTGGACAACAAATGATATGGCAACTGCAAGAAACACGGGCACTACAGGTTGAATTGTCTTTACATCAAGTTGAATGCATTCTCTTATGGTTACAAGTTACCATTTTGGGGGGGCCTCCTTACTAAAGAAGTCTACGCTTATTCTGACCGTATCTCATGTATGTATGTATATATATAGAGAGAGAGTGTGTGTGTGTATGTGTATAGTATATACATATATAATACACTCATTCACACTATGTGTGGCAAATGCCAGGCCCAGCCTTTCTCCTGGGTGTCTGTGTCCCAAATGTTGGCGTGGTATAGTCCTGGATGGGTCTACCTGGTTCATACTGGTTAATGATGGTTAATATCATGGTTAATGCAATGGTTAATATATTTGTGGGACTAGTGACTAGTCCCAGATGCGAACGTCAGCAGCTCATGGGAAAGCATCCGAAAAATTGCTGACCACGCCTCTGCTCGACCATTTTTGACCTCAGTTTGGGCAAGGGCAGGAATTCAGAGTGCCAGCGAACCCTGGACCTTCTGAACAAACGGGAGAAGAGATGCAAGCAATGGCGGTCAGCTTAAACTTATTCGTAGTGATGGATCTTCCTGCCCTATGTCGGCAGCAACTGCCAAGTTTGGGGTAGTAGCCATGGCTAATTTCCGGCTGATGTCATGAGCAAACATACTGGACCCTCATTGTTGGGAAGAAAACCTCTGCCGGCGACCCACTCTTGACTGAAAACGTCAGGTTTATCTATGTCCCATGTCCAAGGTCAGGACAGGCAAGTCTGGTAGCAAGGAACGGGAGCCCTGGGCAAGGCGTAAGTGCACAAATGCTGAAGCAGTTCTTGCAGAAGCCAATTGATCTACAGCGCTACAGATTCTTTGACACGCACCGACAATGCAAACAAACGAGGGCAATTGCAAATGTCACATGTTCCTTCAGCTTATCACTGTATATAAGCATGACTACCCTTCAATGAAATCTGTGCACAGTGCGAGTAAGCAAGTACATGGCAAATCACATCTTTCTGGTTTTAAAAAGTGTTCCTGGATGAAATCCGCCCGCACCGAAGGTGCTGGGGCGTGATCTTCCGGATGGCACTCGTAAAAGGTTACAGGTTTACCTGGGGGGGGGGGGGCATTTTTCGGCCAAAACCTCCTGTTTTTGATAGACATCTGTTCGTGAACGCGCCCGTCCAAAATCGGCAAGCGAAAAGTGAAAAAAAACCGTGTTTTTCAACTTTTTGACCTCAATTTTTTGGTTTGCAACATCTTTTTTTGCGGTTCCGCAGGTGGCCGGGCCCGGAGGCGGATTTTTGAGTTTTTGGACCCGTTTTCGGACTGATTTTCGTCGTTTTGTGATAGCAGAAACACTGGTTTTTACAGTGTTTTTCTGTTTTCTGCATGCTTGACGGCTAGCTTCAAAACTTCCAAAAACCTCGTAAATTACGCTGTTTTATGTTACGGTGTGAATGAAAACATCGTAAATACCAGTGTTTTTTGACGTTGGTTAAAAAAACACTGTAAATTACAGTGTTTTTGGCCACCTGACCCTCAAAAACCATGGTATTTGCAGTGGTTTCTGCTTCTCACCGCGCAAAAACACTGTAAATAACAGCAATTTCGCCGTTTTTTCATGTTTTTCGTTATTTTTTGAACTGCGTTGGTCCGCTATACATGGCTATCAAATTCTTCGCGTTTTTTTTCCGACAATCAGTACTTTCGGATGTTTTTGGTCTCAATGGCCGACATCATTGGCAGTTACGAGCGGCTGCCCAACGATGCGGTGCGGGCGGTTGCCGTCGCGAAGCGACGTGAATAATACATATAATACAGCATCTGCACAAATGTTTTGCCTTTCGTCCGCTGTAGTTCAGCATTGGTGGTTCCTGGCAAATCTGCTGCGGCTACTTCAATCCCTCTGAAGTTAAGCCCGAATCTATGATTTATCAGCTCAAAGGTTGGAGGGCTTGACTTTGCTCAGTGTGTAGATAACTTGTAAGTTCCAAAATGATGCGCTATTGATTAACATCTTGGACTTTTTGGTAGACAAAATGCAACCAGTGATGTGCCTTGCTCCGAACCGTCACATTACCAGAAACCTGTAGGAACACTATCCACAGTGTGTTTCATGGTTCTTGAGTTCACATATGTTTGAAGTGTTTCAGCCAGTACTCACTGAAGAAACTGGGCAAAAGAGCTCCCACTAAGCAGGCCCTCGCAGGTGGTTTCATGTGTCTGTATTTTTACATTTACAGAAAAATCAGGAGGATGCATTGGTTGCAGCGATTGATTCTCGATTTGCCTGAAGTGCTGCTGCCTGTTGTTCTTGGGAGCTTGACAAGTTGAAAAATTGGCAGAAAAGTAGAAAAGAAAACATCACTTGAAGTTTGGTGAGTTCGACAAGCCTTTCTAAAGCTGATCCAAACCTCTTCCGCTTCCCTCTGCATCCTAGCCGCCTGTCAACACAAGTCCACTGGTGCTTGTTCGCCCGCAGACAGGGGAATGGGATGGTGGAAGCGATGGTGGTTAAGAGGGTTTCGTTAGCAATTTCAAACATCCAACAAACACCTACAACATAGTGTGTAACTAAATGTGCTGTGTATTGAGTAAAAACTGTAGACTGTGGTTGGTCGGACACATCTGGGTTCTCAACCTGCGCTTCTGCCAAGGCTGTTCTCACCGCGGCCTCTGAAAATTGCCAAGGCTGATGCGACATGGCAACAAAATCCAGAAATGACATGGAACCGCCAAATCAATGGAAAAAAAATCGGAAAGTCTGACAACCATGAAGTTCCTGTTCAAGCACAAATCAGAAAAGGATTTCCAGCGAAGTTGTTTGCAATCGCAGTTGTTTACAATTTTTAAGACCTGAATGTGCCTGCTCTTTTTCCAAAGCCTTAATCCTTGCAGCCTGCACAAGTCTGGCTGCAGCCAGATTTGGATAGATTTGGCAGAATTTGAAGATCAACTGATTGGCAATGCATAACCGCCTGCTGAAGCGGCACTTTCCTGACTCCTTGGAGCCATGCAAGGTCCTTGGTGCCATATCAGGCTACGAGAGACTGCATCCATAATTGGACAACAAGAAACAACCTGTTTCATTTTATGGTGTTTGATGTATGCGTGTCCTTGCTTAGAGATACAAGTGCAAAACGAATTCCACGTCAAACTCATACACCACTACGAAGACTACGAACACTTTAGCACATGCTCAGGTTGTTTGAGTCAAGGCACAGTTTCCTGCAATGCAGGTGGTTTGAAGTCCTCGACAAGTACGACAGTTTCGTCCTCTTCATTCAATCGTACTCGTACATGTGTATAAATATCTATAAATATCTATATATATATGTTTTTGATGTATTTATGATTGTGAATAACTTATATATCTATCTATCTATCTATATATATATAACGTATATAATGTGTATGTGTATATATAGATATAATGCATAGTATATATATATAACGTATTATGGAGGTTTCCTGAAATGGGGGTACCCCTGAATCATCCATTTTAATAGGATTTTCCATTATAAACCATCCATTTTGTAGCTCCCCCATTTGTGGAAACCACCATATATCTAACGTATAATATATGCATAATTTTGTGTGTATATATATATATATATACATATATTGTAACCGCCTTAAAAAAAAAAAAAAAAGATTTTGCTGATTCTTTCCACAGATTTTGATAGTTGTTGGGTACTTTTTTATATACCTTTTTTGGGGGTGTTGTTTAGGTCTGTTGTGGTAATGGTACATTGTTGGGTTTCAAGGGAGTGCCATATATCTAAGCACATGTGATGTATAATATATATATATATAGATATAGATATACACACATATACCAAAAAAAACAAGGATTTGGCAAGCATGTGAGCCACCGACCTCCTGAAGCATTTCCTCCAAACCATTGTTTTTTCTTTTTGTTGTGTTTGTTTTGGTCTGTTTCCATCAATCGATTCGGATCTCCAACAAGCTATTGGGAGCCGATCGAGTGAGACATCCTACTATTACTACTACGACGACGACTACTACTACTACTACTCCTACTCCTCCTGCTCCGACTACTCCTACTACTCCTCTAAAAGTCTCACTACTCTTACGACTCCTCCTCCTCCTCCTCCTGCTGCTACTGCTACTGCTACTGCTACTACTACTACTACAACACCACCAAACCCCCTTTCGAAAAAGGCCCCCCTCTTCTTCGAACAAGCCCCACCCCCCTCTTCTTTGAACAAGTTCCCTCCCCTTTCAACAAGGGGGAAATCCCTCAACCAAAGGGATCTGAGTACTTTGAACGAGTCTTTCCTGCAAAGAAATTCCTGAATGAATGGAGGCGCCATTTATCGAAAATAGTGTAATACTTGCTTGAGAAAATGTAACATTGTTCACGTTAACATCCCTTCATCAGATGCAGTAGTACTTTGAAGAGCCTTTCAAGGGTGTAGTATTCCTTTGGAAAGGACAGAAGTATGGTGGAACATGCCTCTGCAAAGCGCAGCACTTCCACAATAAAATTTTGTTGGATGCGTTGCTCTTCTGGAACCGAACCGCATAGTAGCACAAGCGTTTACAAGATATATTTGTTCGGACTGTGTTGTATCATAACCAGTCTATATGTTCATTTTGCGAGGGTGTAGCACCAACAGGGTGGGCAAGACCCTTCAAAGGAGGGAAACACTTCTTCAAGACTGTGCGGTACTACTCAGTACCCTCACTTGAAAGTTAGAAAATGGTGCCACTTTTAAAAAAGGCCAATACTACTTGAGAGTGAAATTGTCCAATGCATGCAGCACTCTCCTGAAATAGAATGTATTCCTGGAGTACTCATTCATCATAGCAAAGTGTATAAAAATGTAAGTTTGGAGGGGAAAATAGCGTGTATATACACATATGTGTGTATATTATATTATATTATATTATATTGTATTGTATTCTATTATATTATATTATATATTATATTATATATTAAATTATATTATATTATAATATATTATATTATGTTATATTATGTTATATTATATTATATTATGTTATGTTATATTGTATTATATTATATTATATTATTGTGTATTAGTCTATAGTTTATTACAACTTTATTACATTATGTTTGTTTTATTGTATTATAGTAAAATGCTATATATTATATTATATTATATTATATTAGTTTAAATATTAGGTTATATATAATATTATATATTATATTATATATTATATATTATATCGTATTATATATGATATTAAATATTAGCTATATTCAGCTATATTATATCAAATATAATATTATATGCTATATTATGTTATATATTGAATTATATTATACATTATATATCATAGTATATATTTCATATTATATATTATAATATATATTATATTATATGTTTTAATATTATATATCATATATTTTATATGTTGTATTATATATTCTATATATAATACTTGAATACTACATATTATTGATTACATATTATATATTATATATTATATATTAAATATTCTATATTATCTATTATATATTATATATTATCTATTATATATCAAAGATTAAATATCATATATTATATATTAAATGTTTTATATTAAATATTGAATATTATATTATCTTATCTTAAATTATACTATATTATATTTTTATTGAAAATATATTATATATTAAATCATATTATATTTGATTTTAGTGTATTATACCATAGTGTATAATATTAAATTATATCATATCATATTATTATATTATATCATATTATATCTTCATTATATTGTATTATATTATATGATTTTATATTGTATTATATTATATATTAAATTATATTACATTATACTTGATATTATATTATACTTTATTTTTTTATTATATTATGTTATAGTATCTTATTTTACACAAAATAAATTATACATTGTATTATGTATTATAAAATATTATATTATAGTTTATTATATTTTATTTTGTTATATTATATTCTGTAATATGTTTTATATATATAATATATTATATATTATTAATTGTATTGTATATTATATTATATTAAATTATATTTTTATTTTATTTTATTATATTATATATTGTAATATATTATATATCATATTATATTATATTATATTGTATTGTATTGTATTATATGATATTATATATTATCTTGTAAAAAATATATATTATGCATTATATATTAAATAAAAAAAATTATATTTTATATATTAAATTACCCTTTATTATATTATATTTTATTATATTTTATTTTATTTTTGATTATATTATATTATATATTATACTATAATACATTATAATATATTGTATTATATTATTTATTATATTATATTATATTTTATTATATTATACTATATATTCAATTGTATTATATGATATTATATACTTTATTAATTACTCTATCATATTGTGTGACATTATTGTATTAAATCATATTATACTAATATAGTCTAAGATATCATATTATAAGATATTATGTTGTAAGATATTGTACTATAAGAGATTCTATTTAAATATATACATTGTTTTAGTTTTAATATATACTATCATAATATACTACAATATATTATGTTGTATTATATTATATGAAATGATTTTTAATAATATATCACATTTTGTATTAAATTGTCTTACAATTCTATATTCATTAACTTATATTATAATATGTTGTTTTATTTTATATTATGGACTGTATTTTTTTAATTAAATTACATTATATTAAATTACATTATATTATTTTATGTTAACTTAAATATATATATATATTGTATTACACATATTATAATATGTCAGTATATATTTTATATATATATATAATATATATATACAAATCAGAAATGAAACTATATATATATAACCATTACATGTGTTTTATCTTCTGTGCAGCCAGTTTAAGCTAAACTCCACCTGCACGGCTGCAGCAGCTGCGGCTTCCTCATATTCTTCTCCCTTTGCTTGATCAGCCTGGTATTTGCTGTCAGTTTGCTCCAAAGAAAAACAAGACATCAATCTACCTACTCAGCGTCCAATCTAAACACAAAATGAAAGGCTGCAAGTCGAAACTTGGAAGCTTTGTCAAACATTGCCTCTTACATTTTGCCCCATGGCAAGAGCAAGCAGTCACAGAGCAAGCGACCCTCATGTCATTTTTTCTTCAAACAACTCCAGAAATACCAAAACAGGCTCCTTTGGCTGCCGAGATCGTCCAGTACTACGGTCCTCAACAGAAAATCCAGCACAATATGTCGAACATGTCAACGATTGCAAAGTTCCACAGCCATCCGAAGCCAAAACGACGGTTTTGGATGAAAATCGTTGCTCTGAAGTGGTAAAGGACACACAATCCATCAATTGATTTTGCGCACCTTGTTCGATCGCCGTCTTCTTCTTCTAGACTGTGAACGTGAATTCTGGCCATCCTGCCCCCAGATTTTTCCCGCTGAAAGCCACACCGCCCTGGTTGATTGTCCAAATCTAGCACTTGAGTTTTGAAAAGACTGAAGCAAAAGAAAGGTAAACTAATTTAATTTATGTTGTTGTGACACCGGGATGACATGTATGCTGTCCTGGCTTGGGTCAGCAACCAGGCTAGAAGCCTTCCACAATGCCAGAGTTGAGAAGGGGAACACATTACTGACACTCTGCCGGATCCAAGTTTTTGGCTAGGAACATTTGGTTTAAGTATTGGATGTCTATAGATTGGGGGCCCACATGCAGAATTTCATATGATCGGGGGAAGTGGATTGAAAGATCCATGCGCCAACTAGGTATCAAGGATTGTGTGAAATGTCTATACATCTTTCTTATGCTCAAAAGGAGAGTTACAGTATTGGGGTGCCTAATTGTAAGACAACTTATACTGCGCACCACTATGACACCACTCGACCAGCGATGCTTTCGTCCATTAAAAGCCAGATGGATTTTCTCAGACACCACTGGCAAACATTCATGGCAAATAAAAAAGACATAATACAGAGACACACAGATTACTCAATACCGCGAAGCCTGTCTGAACTCAAACACTGTGGCTAGGAAACCTTACGAATATTTGCTGAATCAAGGCACTTGTGCCTCGGAAGATGGCTCAGGCAGTAGGGACATGGAACCCTGGCTGGATGGGACACTGGGACTTGCAAAGTCAGCACCAAAATGGCATGCTCATGCACTTGCTGACGCTGCACAGAAGTCTCTCTTTCTACATGTCCGGAGGAAAACATGTGCAGGATTGTGCAGGCATATATATCTGCAGGCATACAGGAGTATGCACCACCGCGCAGTCGAAAGCAGCTGGCACTTTCCAGCCAATGTGTGTCAGACTTGACCCCATCATCATAATACTCCATACATCTCCATACATCTCCATACCTTGTTTGTATGTTTTCCAGTATGTTATATAGATATATTATGATATATATTATATATAGTGATATGTAAATAGTAGTCCACACTGTCCATACCTTCTTTTTCTGTATGTTTTCCCGTTGCCGACGCCGACGCCTTTCTCGCTGGAAGTCGACCAGGAAGTTGAGGCACGTCCGACGCGGACTGCACCTGCTTCACGACCTAAAGCGAAACGGCTGTCACCAACAGTAAACAGCACAGTAAATGATAGTAAATGGTAGAAAATGATAGAAAATGTTGATACATCAGATAGGAAATATTAAGAAATCCTGTTCACAATAGTTCCTTGTTATCTTTATCTCTCCTGAAAGTCATTGTTCTTGAGGCATCCACCCCAGCTGCCAGGGGTTGGTCAGGCAACATTGCCAGAAAGTCGCAAGCATCCTCAATGGTCCAGCTCTGCAGGGTGCGTTGCAGAACTGAAACTGACCATCGAATGGTGATTTGAAAGCGACCACAAGAATTGAAGCACAGAAGGTTATTGGCTGCAAACAGACAAGATCAGCATAGTCATGAAAGTCTTCCAGAAATTCTGGTCGACGGTGCTCTTTAAAAATGTTGCCCAACTAAAACTGATAGTAGACTCAGTAGACCAAGAACAATTAACAAAAAATGACCGACATGACCATCATCTGCTGAACGGACCCCCGGAACAGTCCATCAAACTGCCCCCACCCGCAGAACAAAATTAAAACTTGAAGAGAAAAGGGCCGTTGCTACCGCACATGAAACTTGTGACACTGTCAATGCACATCTTAGACAACCGCGTGCTCTGTCAATGCATGTGTTGGCCGCCTGCTTGCCCCTGTCCCTTTTGGCATCCTTGGCTCTCAAATTGCTGCCAAATCCACATATGACTCATATTCTTGCGGTTTGGGTTTGAGAGTTTTTAAAAAATCTGCCGGCCGCAAGCTTGGGCCGCGACAACCCAAGTATCTGATAGGTTGTGGGATGCTGCTTCCAGCAAGGGCTCCTGCCGAAGCCACCAAGATGGCCAATACTGGACATGGAAATTCTTTCACTATGGACGGCAAGCGACCGCGCGGATTGATGTAAGCCAGGATGCCACAGACATGGAAAGGCGTACCACCTACACTTTCCACCCTAGAAACTTGGTCTCTGCTGCGCACTCCTCAGGCGTCTCTGACGGTGCCAGGAAATTCGGCTTGGCCCACTCCTTACAACCAACTGGATCAACTGGATCAACTGTGCACGAAGACCGGCTGAGACCCGGACGTATTGGGGTCCGCTCACACAAGGCGGCACGGTCTCATCCGAGCCTTGCGGTACTGACTGGGCCTCTGCTGCATCACTGAGGTCCATAGGCGCAACCATAGGCGCTTCCATGGGCGCGTCCATAGGTGGCTCCATAGGCGCATCCATAGGCAGGTCCATAGGTGGGTCCATAGGCGGGTCCATAGGCGCATCCATAGGCGCGTCCATAGGCGGCTCGATAGGTGCATCCACAGGCACGTCCATAGGTGCCTGGCATTCGCCGGGTCCGGTGGCACCCAGAGTCCATATTCAAGGTGATAAAGTGTTGCGTTCCATCTTGAGAACCTGGAAGGGACTTTAGTACAGTATGATTTGAAAAAAAATGTCTCCGACTCCCGCTCTCCAATCCAATGAAGCTGACTGCTGACCTCTTGCACATCGTCCTGTTGCAAAATGTCAGAGCGCAGCTTTCACTAAGGGATGCTTGAAATGAGACCTACATGTGTCCCCCGTCGAGCGTTCAACGCAATCGTGCTGTCATGGAGTCTATGCTGTATGCTCCCACCTGCGGCAAGTCCGTGTGCTCAGCCTGAGATTCATCCAGAATCACGGAGCAACTTGAAAGCATCACATTTCACAATATTTCACCATGGGATGTATTCTACTATGCTTGGATGTCATTGGATGCTTGACTGTCTCAAGTCTGGGTGTTCAAAGAATGGCAGTCTCTATTGAGGAAGCGAGCATGATCTTTTTGGACAGGGCAGCCAGCAAAATGATGGGATTGATGGAATCGTTTCTTTCATGTCTCTATGAACATACTGACCACGACATCGAACCTGTCCAACACTTTCTGGATGGGACAGAGTCCATATGTTATTTTTTTCCTCTGAGGGGTTATAGTTATTGTTAAACCCCAAGGTCTTTCGTTAACTTTCCATGTCGTTCCTGGTGATGAAAAAATATAAATAATATATATAATGGCAATTCTCCGTTATGCACCAGGGTTTCACCTTCCTATCTTTGGGACCTCCCCCGTGTGAGCACCTGGGACTCGCCGTCTGAATTACCGCTGATGTTGAACATCTGCGGCTTCGCTGCCTAGCCCAAGCAGAATCTCCGGCAACCTGGGTCCTTGCCTCCTTGACTTGTTTAGCCACCAACCAGAAACACCAACTCGGATGTTTTTTCAAGTTGTGCATCAATATTCCAAATTATTGAATGGCAGATTTTACCTGTCAACCATTCGTGTGTTCAGGCGACTTGTGGGTCACCGTATTATATCTTCGAATAGGCCTGTCCGTTGAGCACCTCGGACTCATCCGAATCGCTGCTGATGTCGAATGCCTCTGGCTTCGCCGCCTGCCCCAACCAAACGCTCTGGCTCCTTGAGAGTTTAACTAGACTAGAGACATATTTTCCGAACCGGCCCCCTGTCTGACAAATCCATAGAAACCACAAATCCACGAAAGTTCTCCAGAAACCCATAGAAATTCTTCGGAAAACCACAGAAATCCAAAGAATTCTCCAGAAACCAAGAGAAAAAATAGAAACCAATAGAATTCTCCGGAACACCATAGGAATCAATACAAATCCCACAGAAATCAACATGGGTTTATGTGGTGGTTTGGGTTGCTGGTTTGGGGGTCTGGGAATTTAAAGTTTTTAAACATGTTTTTTGAAAAACGTGGTCCAAGTAGACGGAAAAAAGATGTACTTCTGTCAGGAACCTGACAAACGTTGTTTGGCACATTATTCAGTGGCCAGAGGTGACCTTGGGTCGCAGTTTTCACCTTTCCCAAGTAAAACGGCCAGCAGGTGTTTCTGTACAAGGACGCTTTGTGCGTCCAACACCCGCTGACCGCACACCCGTACCGGAGGGGGGTGGAGGCAGGTCAGAAAATGTCACATTTGAATGCTGCACTCCAATGCTTTCCCAGGGGCCGGCGGGGCCAGCGGGTGTTTCTGTACAAGGACGATGTACGACCAACACCCGCTGACCCCCTTTTGGAAAGGAGGCGGTGAAAAAAAAAATCCCAGAACGCCAGGAAACCAAAAAATCACAATATCCCAGCCCCCTCAAACCACCAACCCAAACCACCACATAAGCCCAACCTGAAGAAATCCATAATCCATTTAAAAAAACAGAAACCCATAGAAATCCATAAATCGAAAGGATAGAATTCATAGAAATTCTGCAGAAACGCATACAAATCCATAGAGTCAACAAAAATTCTCCAGAAATCCATAGAAATCCATAAAATCAAGAGAATTCGATAGAATCCATAGAAAGCCACCAGAAACCCATAGAAATCCATGGGGTCCATAGAAATCCAATATCAACTTCACAGAACCGTGCGCCCTGCCTCCACCTCAGATTTATCAGGAGCAGGGGCCCATTTCGGCGCGTCGGCCGCCATGGTCTCGGATGCTTCCGCCTTCTTGGAGGATTCCTGTGCACAACGTAATTTATAAAAATCTATAGAAATTTATAGAAATCTAAAAAATACAAGTCAACCCCAAAGGGTGTAACTACTCGGACTACAGAATAGAAGTTCGTGCAGCCTCCAAACCACTCAGTACCAAAGAGCAACCAACCATCATGATGATTACGTCCCCAAATGCCACCGGGACATATGTCAGGATATATGTCAGAAAATATGTCCGGGACACATGTCAGGATATATGTCAGAAATATATCCGGGATATATGCAGAATACATTTCAGCATATGTGTCAGGATGTATGTCAGCATGGTTTGTTCCCGGTGGGGAATACCGTTGAAATGGTACGTACTCGTAGCTTCCAGCTTCAAAATGCTGCAAATAGCACCAAAATGTTGCCCTACGCTTCCATGTCCCATTATGCTGGGAACCACAGCAGTTACTGAAATGACAGGAACCAGAAGTGGGTTCCGGAACCAGGGCTTTGGAACTGGTTCATTTTGGGCATGTGGCAAAAGTGCAATTTTCATGGAAAATTCAACATGTTTCATTGTGTAGTGTCACCACATTCTCATTCAGAATGATCACGTTATCTACGCTGACCCTGGGATATGCGAGGATGGTGAAACCAGAAAAACTAGCTGAACCGTGTACCTTACAACATGTAGCTAAAGCGCATGATTTGCATGCATGTAGTCAAATGTACACGGTATAGGGCAATTTGCTATGCAGGTAGCTTTTGTTAGCTTAAACGTTACCAAAAAAAACACTGTAAATGTCAATGTTTCTGAAGAGGGGTATGCACATACCCGTGTTTTTGAAAGGTAAGCGCAAGTGATTTCTGCTCTTTAAATTTGAAACTTGTGTAATGGTGCCTAGGCGTTTTTTGATATTTGTTGGAAAAAACAAAACTGCATACAGGGTAAGATATATGGTATTGACAGCATTTCTTGAATGCAAGTGCTGAAAAAGGCTAAAAATAGCAGCGTTTTTCATCTAAAATCTTGCCTAAGAGCCTAAGATTCTAAGAGCCCTTCTCCAGACGGCATCGCCGGCGTTCAAAAAGCGTCTTGCGCACTGACCATTGGTACCGCACATGAAACTCAGGTAGCTGACTTTACCTTGAGTAAAGAAAACATTTACTGTCAATGCAAATCTTCGGCCATCATGTGCTTTGTCAATCCATGTCGCCTTCTTGCACCTTTCCCTTTTGGACTTCGGAGATTCCACATCCTCGTCTCTCAATCTAATTGCTGCGCAAAATGCATTTGGTGCAATGCTCTTTGGGAGATTTGCAAAATCTGCCGGCCGCAAGCTTGGGCCGCGACAACCCAAGTATCTGGTAGGTTGTGGGATGCTGCTTCGAGCACGGGCTCCTGAAACCATCAAAACAGCCAAGACTGGACATGGAAATTCTTTCACTACGGACGGCAAGCGATCATACGGGTTGATGCAAGCCAGGACGCCAAAGATTCAGAGGAGCAATTTCCACTGTCGGCTGCAAAACATAAAGTACGGTGATGTAGTTAGTAATATTGGTCAGACTGCTACCACCTGCACTTTTTACTCTACAAGCTTTTTCCCTGCTTGTGATCCTACTCCTTGAAATTTAATCTCCTTTATACCTTGCATCTCTGTTGCGCACTCCTCAGGCATCTCTGACGGTGCCAGGAAATTCTGAGACTTGGCCCGAACCTCACCAGCAACAAAGAGCAAGTAACTACAACAATCAACAACAGCAATGAAAATCCCGCAGCAAATTTGTTTAAAAGTGACTTAGCATGACTTTGCATGACTTGACATGACTTTGCATGACTTGGCATGACTTGGCATTCAACTGTACTCTGAGAACAAAACGTATTGGGGTCTGCTGACACAGGAAGGGACGTCCTTGCAGCCTTGAGGAACTCCATCGCCCTGCTCTGCAGCATCACTCTCCTTGTCAAAGGAATGATCGAAGCAAATGCCACAAACAATCAACAGCTCTCCTTGAAAACATGAACTGTACCAGTATATGTCCACTATATACTGTCTTTACATTAAAACTTACATCTGAGGCGGAGATTTTCCCATGGCAAGCAGGTGACCCGAGCCGCGTGCACATTTCAAGTTCCCTAGGTGGTCGAGGATGTACGTGCCAGGGAAATAGACTCGGTAGGTGTCCAGAGCGAATGGAAGCTTCACCTGCAGCGTTTCCCCGTCACCCTGCCTGGCGTCTTTTGGTACATCTGCACACATATTCATCCGAGCACACATAAATTCCATATCTTCTAATATTGACATAGATAGATAGATAGATAGATAGATAGACAGATAGATAGATAGATAGATAGACAGATAGATAGATAGATAGACCTGAGAAGAGGGGACGAACGCCAGGAACTAGTTGGAACGGGGAGACGAGAGTGGAGAGGATGGGAGGGATTTTGGCGGGGGTTGGTGGAGGAGGCGGCAGTGCGAGGCTATATTGAGTGCCGTATTGGAATCCGTGGGGAGAGGGAAGGAATGCGCAGGAGACTTGACATACTATACTTGACACTCCATATGTGGCATTTTACATTCCACACTGGACTGGTTCGACGTTAGACTTTACAGTCTATACTATAGAATCGACACCCCTACATTTCATACTGTACAAGTTATATTTTACATTCCTGGCTCTTCACTGCACACCTGACACTCCACAGGAACAGGAAACTTTTCTAATCTTTCCATCAAGTATGACAATGATGGGGTTCCATAGATTTTGCTGAAGGTAAGCTAAGAGGGAGCCATGCAAAAGTAAGAAACATTACCAGTACGAGTAGATTCTGCAGATGGTGGATTCATCCAAGTGTGTATCAAGTTCCTCATCTGCTAGCTTCTATTAGTCAGAATCCATGACGAGACGATGTCTCAGAGTTTCAAAGTTGAGCTATGTCGGGCAACTTCCGGCAAACTACTTTGGAGTCTTCATGCCTGCTATAGAGGTGTTTATTGCGGCCCGTCGCAGCTGCTGCACCACCTACGAGTAGTGGGGAGGCATGGCGTGGGGAAGCAGTTATACCGTTCTGCTTGTTGGCAGCAAAAGGTGTTCCTATTTCGTTTCTGCAGACGTGACCTGCCGCTCCGCCGGCTGATGACAGGTCTCGGGTGGAGTGGATGCTGTGCACGGCAGTGGCTTGGCTGCTGCTTTGCAGGTGTGGTGGCAGGGTGTCCTCTGGTGTTTGGCCTTTGTTTAATGTGAGTCGTGCCAGGCTGCGTTGCCCAATCTATCTTCTGTCGCGGTTGCAGATTTGCAGGCGAATGCACCCCAGCCCCCTTCCAGCCCACGCCTGTGAGCGTTTGCAATGCGCTATGGAAGCCATGGCTTCAAAAAATGTGGTATGTACGTATGTATGTCTGTCAGTCTGTCTATCTGTCTGTCTCTCTGTATGTATGTATGTATGTAGGTAGGTAGGTAGGTAGGTATGTATGCATGCATGCATGCATGCATATCTGTATGTCTGTATGTATGTATGTCACCGGAAATGCCTGAATAGAGACCAACGAACGCGCATGCTGGGCTCTACAAGACCGCAAATCAATTCTCAACACTTTTTATAAAGTGTTTAGAATTCTTAGCATCGTTCAAGACCGACAAAAAGCGTAATGAGTTGCCCGAAAAGAGGAGGTGGAGGTCACTTTTGGGTATGTATAACCTCAAAAAAATTAAACATGATCCACTACAGGATGACAACAAAATTATTTATGAGAATCACAATAACAACTTCATTTCGGTATGTTTGTCGGGATCAAAATCTAGTGCCCCCCAAAATATATTGACATCTTGTAGACATATATACATAGATGCATACATATACATATATATATATTTAATCTATACACGATATGATATGATACTATGTTGTAAACTGGTGGAATACATCGAATCCCGTCCGGTGGATATCAAATGCTGTCTGGTTGCAAGCCGCAATACTGCAAAACTGTGGGCTACACATGGCTATACACATGTGATTGCAAAGCTTTCGGATCAGACACCCGTTTTGGCGACCTCAAAATCGGGGCCGGCATTGAAGCCATGCACGCAGTTGGGCTACAAAATACTTATGAACAAAAAAGGAGCCATGGTTCGAGACAGCAATAGTTTGCAAAGCAGCTGCAAAGCCGATGCTGCACTAGTGGACCATGTGAGACTCCGTTCTTGCTTCATTTCCCCCTCCATTCCCGTCGCCCCCAATGCACGTTTTTCCGTGCCCCCAATGCACGTCACTGGACGGACCAGGGGGGAATCGAACCCCACCGTCACCCAATTGCCACCTGGTACATCAGCCTCAAAATCGACCACGGAGGCCACCCTATTCAGTTGGGGAAGTGCCTCAAAATGGTCCGTTTTGAAGCGACCGCCCCCCGGACCCCCTATTCTCACTTCGTTCGCAAAGAGCAACTTAAGCCAAGCTTGACAGCTGGCTTTCGTAATAGATAGATAGATAGATAGATAGATGGATGGATAGATCGATCGATCGATAGATAGATCGATAGATAGATAGATAGATAGGTAGATAGGTAAATAGGTAGATAGGTAGATAGGTAGATAGGTAGATAGGTAGATAGGTACATAGGTAGATAGGTAGATAGGTAGATAGGTAGATAGGTAGATAGGTAGATAGACAGATAGACAGATAGACAGATAGACAGATAGACAGACAGACAGACAGGCAGACAGGCAGACAGGCAGGCAGGGAGTCAGGGAGGCAGGGAGGCAGGGAGGTAGGGAGGTAGGTAGCTAGATAGAAAGACAGACAGATAGATGGATAGATAGACAGGTAGGTAGGTAGGTAGGTAGGCAAGTATAATATATAAGTATCACCTATCTAATAGTCTGTCTAAATTATAGTTATAAGCATGTATTGCGTCCATATTCACATTATGAAATGAGCCGCGTGCACAGCTCGCTGCATAGCTGCCTTCGTGGCATTGGGATTTGGTGCTCCGGATTTTCTTGTCACACCGCCCTTGTGCACCTCCCAGTAGACCTCGAAAAGACAGATCTGGACAGTCAACAAACACCCCAACTTCCTTTGGTGATAATAAATCGTGCTGTGTGAGTTTCAAATGGATCTGATTGGGATCCATTGAGGGTCCCTTCAATGCACTCTCGGCCCCTTGACAGCCTTTCAATGTCCGGCGTCAACTGCAAGAAACTTGAATGAGAAACCAAGCCGCTCGCCTTAAACGCAGAGGGTCCGGGTAATTTCACCAAGAGTCGGCCCTCAGAAACTGTAAACTTCATGACCTGTCCAGGTCATTCAGTGCTTGCACTTCGCAGCTCATCCTGCAATTCACTAGCCAAAAACAGAGACAATACAACTGCGATTGAAAACCTCTGCCCCTCCATTTTTCCTCTGCTTGCCTCACTGAGAGAAATTCTGCTGCCGCACTACTGCCGAACTAATTAGGCTGAGTTAAAAAGGGCTGGAGCCTCGCCCAGAGCCCTTCGACTCATGCAAACACTGTCATCATGAGTAATCCCAGCACGAAGGCAGCGGCAGCACACTGCCATCCGAATTTACGGCCCTCAAGGGAATTCTCTCTCGTGCGGCGAACCGCCCAACATACACTCCAAGTCGGACTCTGGCACCTGAACTGCCTGCCCCTGAAGGAGATAGAGATACATTGCACGACACAGCAAAAGGCACTTCTGTTCTTGAACCAAAATGGAGGGTGCAGTGAAACAAGCAAGGGAGTAGCAAAAGCGCAAGGCAAAACTTCTCCAAATGCGTCATGCAGAGTCTTGCGGTCATAAGAATCATGTTGCATCACCTGTCGAGGGGGCCTGGGACACACCGCCATCACCATCAACCGGAGCCCTGGGCGATCAATGAATTTCTGCCAGCGGTTGGAGCATGTGGCAGCCCATGGTTTCACATGGCAGTGACACGTCAGTTCTGCGATGTTTTGGAACTGCACTTTTGGAGTAAGGTCCACACAAAAGCAGCTCTCCTGACCCCAATTGCCCAAAGCTGTGATTCACATCACTACAATGCACAATTGAAAGGTGACGCGCTCTCGAAGATGTGCAGGGCACACGTCAAGAGTTCACACACAGGTGCTCCTGCTGGGAATGGCCAAGCAGAAGTAGGTCCAGTACCCAAGCACACCTGAAACACGGATCTAGATGAAGAAAATTGCGCTCTGTCGAACTAGCTGCAAAATCGATCAAAATCTCTCGCCACTTGTGCAACTTCAGGCAAGTTTCTCCGGCACAAAGGGATGAGTGAAAGCACGGAGCAGGAAACAGTGGACCAAAGAGACTTGTGTTGCTTCTAGCCCAGGGGGATGCTTGTACTTGAGTGTTTTTGTCAATTTGGTTTCATTTGAACAAATGATCATAGGTGGCCATGCCATGCAGAACAATTCTCCAATTTTGGGGGTGTATAGTTATCAATTCAAATGATTCCCCTTGTCACTGCAAAATTCTCCAAGCCACTGTCACTCCGCCCTCCAGAAGGGATTCACGTACAAGGACCTGGAACAGAACGACCGAGGGCATCATGTCTGTTGCTTTCACAGAATGATGATCAACTACAAGCTGACTCAGCAAATTTGCAGGAATTCAACCTCAGCAGTGTTTTGAATGTTTTGAGTATCTTAATTGTTTTGATTCTTCGCTTTCAATTGGACTTTCGGCTCATGGCACCTGCACGGTCCTGCTCGGAAGAAACATTTCGGCAGAGTGGTACCTGGAGCACAGCCCGGGCAGGCACAGCCCGGCATCGCAGCTGGTGCCCCCGCCTCGAGTCCCATCCATCCAAAGGTGGAAAAGATGTCTCATGAGCTGAGGCAAGTCGATCCTGACCTCGATGAAAGCACTTTCCATGTCGATCTGACTTCAAATTTTCACATCCCCAAAGCCCACTTCCAAGGCAGACCCAATTCTTTGCAAATTCAATGGTTGTCGCTTATTTTTTTTGAATGCGCTCAGATCATTTCAGATGCAGGCCGCCGAAACAAGGTTCGTCTGAATCAAGCCTTGGCCCAGCATGAGTGATTCATGGCCCGTCCTGTGAAGTGTCGAGACAAAAGGTGACGCACTGCCTTAAAATGCGTCAAGTGCTTTCATAATATTCAAATTACTTTCTTCGAGTGATCCCCACCAAGTGACATGTTTTCGACATATTTTCTGACACTCTATCTGGCATTCACATTTTACCTCATATATTTTCTGACATTCTTTTCGGGCATTCTTCTAGATTCTAGCTGGTATATCTTCGGAGATTCTTTGTGGTTGAGGTCCGGCGGGGAACGCTCTGATCCGGATCTCGCGGTTGAAGTCCGGCGGGAACACTTTGATCCGGAGCTTGCGGTGGAGATCCGGCGGGGAACACTCTGATCCTGAGCTTGCGGTGGAGGTGGGGAAACGCTCTGATCCTGAGCTTGCGGTGGAGGTCCGGCGGGGAAACGCTCTGATCCTGAGCTTGCGGTGGAGGTCCGGCGGGGAAACGCTCTGATCCGGAGCTTGCGGTGGAGGTCCAGGGGGAAACGCTCTGATCCGGAGCTTGCGGTGGAGGTCCGGCGGGGAACACTCTGATCCTGAGCTTGCGGTGGAGGTCCGGCGGGGAAACGCTCTGATCCTGAGCTTGCGGTGGAGGTCCGGCGGGGAAACGCTCTGATCCTGAGCTTGCGGTGGAGGTCCGGCGGGGAAGCGCTCTGATCCTGAGCTTGCGGTGGAGGTCCAGCAGGAAACGCTCTGATCCGGAGCTTGCGGTGGAGGTCCGGCGGGGAACGCTCTGATCCGGAGCTTGCGGTGGAGGTCCGGCGGGGAAACGCTCTGATCCGGAGCTTGCGGTGGAGGTCCAGCGGGGAAACGCTCTGATCCGGAGCTTGCGGTGGAGGTCCGGCGGGGAACGCTCTGATCCGGAGCTTGCGGTGGAGGAATGCTCTGATCCGGAGCTTGCGGTGGAGGTCCGGAGGGGAACACTCTGATCCTGTGCTTGCGGTGGAGGTCCGGCGGGGAACACCCTGATCCTGTGCTTGCGGTGGAGGTCCGGCCGGGAAACACTCTGATCCTGAGCTTGCGGTGGAGGTCCGGCCGGGAAACACTCTGATCCTGAGCTTGCGGTGGAGGTCCGGCCGGGAAACACTCTGATCCTGAGCTTGCAGTGGAGGTCCGGCGGAGGCGGAGGCGGAGGAGGCGGGATAGATGGCATAAAATTTAACAACCCTCACCTGACAGGTGGGGAAAAAAGATATTGAGTAGCGAAAAACTGCTTCAAAGCGCTTCCTCTACCTTCCAAATGCAAGGCTCGCAGATGAGGGCCCAGCACAACCCGCATGTTCTCGTTCCATGAGTGTCCAACACGGTACTCCTGAAACATCAAAATGGTCCTGTACGAAGAACACCTTCCATATTCACACCAAGGATCATATTCACATTCACAGCGAGAGCATAGCTGTCTTTTTGTTCAACCCTCTCCGTGTAGGAACGTTTTGGATGGAAGTTGAAGACGAAAAGGCCTCGGATAAACATAAAAAAAGGGCTTGTCCTACGTTATCCTACGGTTCAAAAGCCACAAAGAGAAGCATCAACACCTAATCTGTCAGCAGGATACTACAGAGATCTAAAGAGAACACACAGATGACGCAATGAAATCAATGACACTAGCACCACATATCGCATAAACTTACGACATCTTGCCAAGATACAATCTCCATGCTCGAAGACCACGACTTTGTCCGAGTCGTCCTCCCGCAAAACTTGAAAAACCAACTCGGTACCGCGCATACCACGCAGCCGCACGGACCTGCCTTGCGGGAACAGAAGTACCGCGGTGAGGCCATGAACCTCGAATCGGCGAATTGCAAGCCGTGCGACCAGTACGACCCATCTGTCATCTCTTAAATCTGTTACTGTAAGCTGCATTTTTCTGTCTGTACCATGATTATAATCTGTACAGTAGTCCATCATAGTCCATCATGGTGGGATCCAAGAAACTTGAAGCGATTCTCCAGTGCGAGCATTGCTTCATCAAAGGCCTGGGGAAACACCGGAATCACACCCATGGAGATGCAGCAAGAACCGGCTGAGTTCACAGTGACATACTTTCCAACAACATGCAAACACACACACACAACAAGGGAGAAAGCTCCCATTACGTCATTATAGTAACTGTTGGAAGCAAGCTGGAGTAAGATGAAATAAGATGATACTCTCAATGACATCAGGCACAATATGTAGCTCAACCCGAAAAAAGCAAGCCTCGAAGAACTTGTATTTCAAGTCTTCAGCTTGTGGAAGGTCAAAACGCCGAATTGCATTCTGTAAACTCCAGCCTCCGAGTTCAAGCACTACTACAATCTAGACTGTGTACATGCAGCATGGGGTAGGAAATGACTTTGGCATCCCCACAGCCAGCGTGATCATTGTCAAGTTAGTTCTTCTCACACACTATTCGAAGCCTGGGATGTTCCTTGAGCTACACACATGATTGAACCCTAAACATGTGTGTGTGCGTGTGTCCGGTGGATCAGAATATTCAGTAAAAGCTGAGTCGAAGAGTTCATTTTATAGACTTGTGACTTATGTATTCTTATGTATTATAAAATATAATTATATGATATACCTTCAGACCTGCCGTTCTCCACTTGGCTAAAAAAATGCTTTCCGGACACGCCACAGTCGCCTCTCTCTCTCTCTCTTTCCAGGGTCGGAGCAGCTGAGTGTGGCACCATTTGCTTCAGATGGAAGGTCGACAAAGTCTGGATGAGCAAATTCATTGCCCATGAAATTGAGGTAGCCCTCCAGTCAAGGTTGAAATGTGAATCCTTTTGAAGACGCTTTCACTGTTGCTTTCACGATCTTTCAAGGCCACAGCTGTGGTATCAGCACATCAGGTTGCAAATGCGTGTGTCCTAAAATGGGGATCTCTGCCAGTTATGGCCATCTATATAAATCATGTTGATAGGGACAATGATCATCAACCAAAAGATTTAGGGGTACCCTTGGGGTACCCTATATCTAAGAGAGAAAGCCATATCTGACATATCCGTAAGGGCCTGGTCCAAAAAATGCCCGCGCGCCTCTCCTCCCAGGCCCATGCAGACCAATCCTTGTCATGGTTGACCACTCTTAGTTTACTTGGCCTTACAGTAGGACTTCTCAAATCTTCCCAATACTCTGAAGCGACCCCAATTCTACTCTAGTACTCCTAGTCTACGGATGCCCAAAGCTGGGCAGCGCCCTCTGGGCTTGCTGCGAATCATTTTGTGCAAGGCGAGACCACGTTCAATGACCACGCCTCGCTGGACAGGGATGGGGACTTTCGGACTTGGGGACTTGATCGACTCCCAGGCTCCCAAGAGTTCCCAAGAGTTCCCAAGAGTTCCGGTATAAGTTTGCTCTGAATGTCCAAGGTGCTCTCGGGGCCCGCGATGCTCATGTGAGCATACATTTCAGCCTTGGGGCTATCACATCTGCAAAAAAGCGACTCAAGTGCAACTCAATGGCTTCAGTGTTTCCATCATTTTCTCATGTTTTGCCAGCTGAAAGACTCTCCAGTGTTCCAAGAGCCTCACATCCATCAAGCTGGACGCAAGAGTCCTGGCTCCTGCCTTCGCCTGCAAACACACATGTGAGAAGGTCAGATGCGAAGGGGGTCCACCAAATACCGGGTCGTTCCAGAAAGTGTAGGAGTTTTGCACTTTGGGAAACCATGGGAAAACCTGAGTTTGACTGCAGTACATTGCCAGGCACATGGGAAAACGAGACGATTTAGATTCACTCTGTCGAAGGCGAAATCGTATATGATCGACACCGCTTCCTAAGTTCCCTTCGGAGCGCCTGATCATGGCTTTCGGCAAAGGCGATGCAAGGCTCCTCAGAAAGGCAGAACGTCACAACGGCAGAACATCAAGCCGAACTGCATCGAGAGCCGTGGCTACGCCGCGGCTGAGCCGAGCTGTCCTTGAAGCGCCTCTTCCTGAGTGGCGCCGTGGAGTCTGTTCCAAATTCTACGCTCAGCTGGGGCGTTCAAGACATGCCGCAAAGGATCTGCAAATTCTTGACAACGCGGCTCACACTCCAAGTTTCATCGGGCTGCTCCTGTGAAGGAAAACATTCAAGACAGAGATCATTCCGCCAGGACAAACAAATCAAAGGATTCACTTCTTCAATCTCTCCGTGCTTGTCCTGCAGCAGTCTTGCCCACATAGGCGGGATGTTGACTGAGAGATTGTAGTCAAAGCCTTGGAACAACATCGTGATGTATTTGTAAAAACAGACTCAGTCTGCCTGTATTCAGGGTTCCTTGATCGGTGAAACTAGAGGAAGCGACCGCAACATATCCTGTCTTTCTGCTAAAGTAGCAGAACTGTAGCATGCTCATTTTTGGACACTCGGTTAAGATTCTTGCCAAAACCGCCATCATCAACTGCACGGCACAAGGTTGGCATGGAAGAGAAATCCTGCAAGCTGAAAGAGACTTTCAATCCAAACTGTCTGAAAACTCCATGAAGAAAGGCTAAAAAAGAACTTGGAAGAACAGGAATCCTGCAGCTTGTCAATGCAAAGGCAAGAGAACCGAAAGGCGTAGCGGCATAGCGTTGCTAGACAGGTCTTCGTCTCTTTCGTTGTACTCTCCGCTCCATGCCATTCCGTCAACCGTGCCGTTGCTGCGTCCTCAGCAATGGTCAAGCCTGATCTGGGTAGCAGCCTCTTGACCAAATAGTTTGCGAGCATCATATAGGTACCAGACCTGGGCTGATGAGGTTACGGATCTCAACAAATGTATACAAAACTGATGATGGGCACTACATGATACTAGATATGATGGACAAACCGATACTACATGGCACTGGAGAATGCAAGATCTGAATAGATATACATATATATATATGATATGCAAGATATGTAAGCTATAATTTGGAAGACTGGTGTATCATCAAGGGCCAGGCTCAGTGTCTGCATCCATGCCAAAATATCTGGCGCTGACCGGGACATCCATATGCAATCTTTGGTCGCGGAAGAAACATGAAGAAACTCCGGAAAGTGTCTCCAGGATCCAGGCTGATGATAGTCATGACCAAAGTGCTTGCCGATTCCGTGCGAGATGTACCTTACAAGGATCAAAACAGAATACCTACACATAAATCACCTGAATCTCATTTCGTTACCAGATCCAATAGATCAAACCAACAAAAGAGCCAAAGACTTAAGGACCAGCCAAGGAAGAGCCTTGGTAGTCTGGTGTAGTCTGGTTGTACCAAGGTACCTTCTCAGTTCAACCACCCAACCAGGAGGAAGATGTGCACTCTATATGTAAAGATTTAAAGATTCAGACGTATAATACCGTATACCCGGCTGTCAAGTTGCAGCATGCTAGTAACACCACCGAAGCGGAATCCATCGAATCCATACTCCTGGAGGGCTGGAGATGGCTGGAGACTGGGCAATGCTGCATGCTGAAGCTTCCCTCTCCTCAATCCACCACCGGATATTGGAAAGCAGAAATCGAAGCACCTCAGCCGTAACGCAAGAACATGCAGAGAATATGATGCACAAGGGGTACACTATGGTATATGGTATGCTCAGATACACACCTCGTATTTACCATAGTCGAAGAGCGAAGCATGCCATTGGTCCTGAAGCTTCAACACACACCTCTCGGTCAGCCCTGAATAGCACAGCATAGTACAGCAGAAGAGTCCAGCCACTCCTGCTTGCCCTTGTGACCACCATGCCTCGGGTTCTCTAGCATAGTTCAGAACGTGCCACGACCTGTTAATTCACACCCGAGTTGCCAAATCCGGACTTGGCAGAAAGGAGAAAAGCAAACTGGCGAAACTAGGACCTCTGCGTGTAGCAATGGTCAGTGCCATCCATAGCTGCAATTCCATCAACCCTCAGTGTGGACTTCTTTCTGCCAGAAAAATGTGAAACATCGTCCACATGTTTCAATCATGCTTGCCAAGTCTGTCCCGATCAGCCCAACATGACTTCCAATGATTCTATATGATTCTATATGTGCTTCACCCATAAAGATCATGTGCTTCACCCATAAAGATCATGAAGGGAAACGCAGGCCGTCGAAATCGTCGAATTTCCATGTTTCTTTCCACCAGGTGCTGGACTGGTTCGAAGAGCAATGTGAATGGACCAAGTCCATCAGCACAGTCAAGCCGTAGGCGTGAGCTGTGTCAACCAATTCCTGGCTGTTTTTTTTCCGCGTCTCACAACTGAAGTTGGATGAAGACAGGATGACACGGGTCTGCCTTCAGCTCATCTGGCGTACCAAACCGGCTGGATGGGGCGAAAAAGCTGGTGACCTGGTAGCCTTGGGATCGAATTGGGATCGAATCAGTATCAGTGACAGAAAGTGTAGCTAGACGTTAGCATCGTTGACGAAGCGGAAGTTTCCATCAATGGGGGTACCCCAATAGCTGGATGGTTTGTAGATGTTTATAGTGGAACATCCTATAAGAATGGATGATTTGGGGGTACCCGCATGACTTATGAAACCTTCAACTCCAGCTGTGGAAGCTTAGATCAAAGCCAAAAGAACTCGCGTTCGCATGCTCCGCGACGGCCATGATCTGACAGGAATTAGTCCGTCGTCAGTCAGTCAGTCAGCAAAACGGTCAGGTCTCGATGGAACAACGGTGGCCTGCAAGGCGTTGTAGCCCAAGCGTTTGATCCGAGGCAGAATATCTTTGAAGTCTAGGTACCTTAGCTATCTATAGCTGCACTATACTACTATACCTATCTTTGCTGTTTCAGTCTCAGTTGCAAAGTCACAAAAGTTGTGGACATTGTGGACAGAATTGCCGAATACGAGACGGTGTCGAACAGTAACACCAAAAAGGGTTCATGTGCCAATCCTTTGCCCTCCTCTTTTGCTTCGTATGTTCTGCCAAAGAGCGTGTGTATTCGTTCCTCTGTGCCTGCAATGCCTCACATCGGCACACTTTCCAGCACGACAATGTAAGGCATGATTGGCGATGAGAACAAACAGCATCAAACGAGATGAACAAGCTGAGCGTTCCCGGTATTTCCCAATCCTAAGGAAAATTCCGGCTTTGAAACACAGCTGCCACGCCCTGCCTAAGTGGGCTTCGTAAATCTTCAGGTTTGCAGGGCGGGGCGGCCTGCAGTCAAAACTATTCAAAACTGCTAGGCGAAATGATTGAGGGTCTGTCACCGCGATGAAAACGGAACCTGATGGAACATGACATCCCATAGTGATTCTAAGTGGTCCTTCCACACATCTCCCTTCAGAGTCGAAGAAAGTGTGTCTATTTCCTTCCAACCACTCGTCACTTTGCTGCTCAGGGCCAAAAGCATCCGGCAGAATGATTATATAAGCAGGTAATCAATGGTTCCAACAAACCGTAACAAACCGTAACAAACCTTCCTGGACATCTGATGTGTTGGTTCCAAGCGTTCGTATTTCTCGTTGGTTGAAGTCCAATGTCTTTGTCCCTGGATTCACCTGGATTCACCTGGCTTCACCTGGATTCACCTGGATTCACCTGGATTTTGCTTCTTGCCTTCCCTCTTCCCTCTCTTCCCTTTGTTCGGCAATGTGATCAAAGATGTTCGAACGAAGTATGTCGTCATGGGAAGTCCACCGAGTCTACTGAGTCTACGGTCCAGGCCTTGCATGTCTCATGACGTAGCGTTCTGAGGGAGGAGGCTCCCACATGATACCGTTGAAGACACCGATCTCCCAGTTCTGCAGGCTATGAAAAATTGCAAAACCTGCTGAAGTCTGCTGAAGTCTGGTTCAGAAAGATTCCATTCGAAGAGGTCAGCTGAACTTGACTTTTAAAGAGAAGTTTCCAGCCAGGTCCTTGCAGGCAAGCTTGGTCCAGGCTGGCACGCGATCTACGGAGCCATGGTCCGATTGTATTCTGAGACCTCAAAGTTGTCAAAGGCAAAGGATTGAAACAACTATGCAATGCATGCAATGCAGCAAGATTTCCACTTTCTTATTCCTCCAGCTTGAGGTGCTTGCGAAATTGGGACCTGCCACCCAAAAGGAAATGCAAGGCAAGCTGGTCCCTTCGGTGCCAGCACCAGAACGCAAGAGTTTAAGAGCATTTAAGAGCCATCAGATCGCTCCAGGTGGAGAAAGACCTTTAATTCAACACTGAACAAAGCACGATACCTTTTCTATGTCTTGGTAGTGATCAGTCCAACAAATCTTGTGAAGTCAAGGAGCGTGTTCCTCTTTCTTCACGGGATTTCAAATTTGATTAGGCGGAACATCTGCCGACTCCATTCGCATACAATTGTTGGAATTGTTGGCGGTAGGCTTGGAAGCAATGCAAAAAGCGATGTGTGCTCTGCCTCTGCAAACGACCCCGTTGTGGGTTCCCCGGTTTGGTTGTATGTATGTGTGTTTACATATTATATATATATATATATTAATTACTGCACACTTAGCAGTACATGGAGTATTGAATTAAAATATATATACAGAGTGTATGCAAAGGATGCACATGTCTTGGTGGAACGCCTAATCAGCAGTATTCTCTGCTACCATTCCACGGAAGCGAATTCGGTGCAGGTTTTGTAGCTCTGCATTGTAGAACTAAAGCAGAAGATGTCCTAAGTGAAATCTCGAAGACGCGAGCTTCAGGAAGCGGGGAGAGAACGGCCAAGATAGCACAAGAAATTGGATGTTTCATTAGGCCTTTCAGTTCTAATATCATTTTGCGATCAGATATTAGAAACAATGCAAGACAATCCTGGTGAGACACTCTCACCGGGTTGGGCTCTCTGGGGGCCACTTAAACGAGCAACGATCGTAACAATGTTCAAGCTTGTTGGCAACCAAGGCATTACAGCCGCAGCTCAAGCGACATGCGGAGTTTTGGACTCAGAGCTAAACGCAGTGGGCACTAAGAAAGCAGTACAGGGCGTGAAAGCTGGGTTTTCATGTTGAGGCCGCGTTGTTTAGTCCTCATTGGGGCCAAAGATCCTTTGGCTTCCACAGTCCCAGCCATTCTGCTGCAAATTTTGGCTGAATTGAATAAATCTGAATGAAAATGCACGATAAACCATCCGGCGAATCAGCGAAAAACCAATCCAACCACAATCCCAGCGATCACATACCGCCAGCCTATGAGGCACAGCCCACTTGCCATCTCTCTTGTCGGGCAAGTCAATGCTCCAACGGCCAAACTCACCTGTCGGGCACTGCTAAGCCGCAACTGCCGCTGCTTTGTCCTCAACTTCCATATCCACTATCGATCCACCATGTCAAATCCAACTGAACAGTGTTCAAAATCCCTCTGCCATTCTATTATACTGGTTGTGGTGGTTGTTGTTGTTGTTGTTGTTGTTGGCGTCGTCGTTGTTGTTGTTGTTGTTGTTGTGGTTGTGGTTGTGGTTGTGGTTGTGGTTGTGGTTGTTGTTGTTGTTGTTGTCGTTGTTGTTGTTGCTGCTGCTGTTGTTGTTGTTGTTGGGATTTCCCGATATCCCCAGTATTTTGGGCAGTATAATCCCCTATTATCATCAACAAACCAAGGTTTTGAACACTGCTCAACTGATACAATCATTGCTGCGAACAGTTTGGGTAGAGGATCCCAGCAGCCTGGCTTCAGAGGGTGTGTATTCTCCTTGGTGCGTCAATCGCGGAAGCCAATCGATTCATTCGCTTCACGGCGACTACCAGACTGTTCCACAAGATATGTGGACCAGCTTGTTTCAACATTGCCCAAGCGCAACAATGACTGGTGCATCTGGAAACTCATGGCAAACATTGTAGCCCATTCTATAAAGAAACTCTTACAAGAAATACGTCTGCTTTACGTCTGCTTCGGCATTTTGATGCATTGTGGAGTGGGCAATTTCGGAACTGCGAGGTTTGATGCCCTGTTTCACTTTTTTGTGTGAGAGATGGTGCTGTCATTTCTATTTTCCGAGTCTCCCAGTTGTTGAAATCTCCGATCAGGAAGACGCTTCTTGCTTCTGGAAGCCACTCTGTGAATGTCCATTTCTGTTCCGACTCGTGCCTGACATGCTCGAACAACTCGCAACACATCAATTGTTGGCCAAATATACCACTTCCCCCACCTCTGGAATCCAAAAGTTTTGTATCCTTCGGCAAGTTGATCAACACCACCTTCATTCTTTCTGAACCTGGGCTGTAACGAAAGGCAGTCCAGAGTTTGAAAACTAATTTGAAGTGAAGCCCTCGGGGGTCAATCTCGTATCAAAGTGATTCAAAGAGATTCAAAGAGGGCAAAGGTCGAACTGTCCATGCCCGCACTGTGCCATGATTGTTGCATATTGTTCTGTCACGTGTTGAGCTCTGCACTGTTCCTTCCAGCCACGGAAGGCATTGATGCGGTGCATGATGTTGGACTCCTTGATGGTTGGGTACTCTCCAGTCGTGGCAATGTGGAGAGAAACAAACTAAAACAAAAAACATACACAAAACCGCATGGTTGTCTTGAACCAGAGACAAGTTTGGTTCTTCCAGTTATGCCATTGGGAGAGATCTCTCCGACCCATTCTGAATAGGGAGAACGTATCAGGGGTATTGTTGATGCCTAGTTTTGTTCGCCTATTGTGCTTAAGATGAGAACCATGGTGCATAGAATGGACTGGACAGCAAGCTGTCCAGCGAACTGAGGCCAGCACATGCGAACAGAGATCAGGATCGTCCTTGAAAACTGGCAACATTGTCCTTCAGCGAACTTCGTAGAATCGGGTTTTCAGGTGCTGTGCAAGTCGGGTTTTCTTGGTTTTGATGTTTGTTTTTGCCTTTGGTGTGCTTGCAGTTTGTTTGTTTCAGCAGAATCCCCTTGTCAGTCCTAGATGGACTCTTTTGTGCGAGCGCCCTTTGAAGGCAAGCCTCATCAAGCCATTCAAGTTTCAACGACACTCCTTTCTTGATTGATGATGTTTTTCATGGTACTGCACATCTCCTTGCAAAGTATATCATATGTATAAATATATATATTCTATATTATATATATATATATTCTATACATATATTCTATATATATATATATTCTATATTATGAATATTCTATATATATATACTATATATATGTATATTCTATATTACCTATACATATTGTAATGGGTAGATATATATATATATATAATGTTGTATACAATATACATATATATAATTATATATACATGTTATCATGTATATATAGTCCTTATATATATATATATATTTGATATTGATAATATACATATGATATAATATATAGATATATATGTGATAATATATGTGTGTGATAATATATTTATATTCATATATGACATAATTTAATGTGTAGATTATATATATATATATGAAATATATATATATGCAATATATATATATGATATAATGTGTATATATGTATAAGATATAAGATGATATAATATATATATATATATGTGTGTAACTGATATAATGTATATATTTATATATATGTATGAAATAATATCTGAGAGCGGGGGACTGTGAGAGTGCGTTTTTTAGCCATACTGCTTCGAAATCTCATTTCATCTATACGCAGAGACTTCTTGTCAAGACCTCCTCCTAAGTCGAGTTTCAAAATTTCATCCAGTAAGGGTCGCAACAATCAAAACTAAAATTCATACAAACAGTTCATCTGAAATGATGTGGTATCATTACAACTAGCCAACCCTGTGGATGAACATGATCAGATCAAATGCCCTTTCACTTCTCGATCACCTTCAGAAACTTCATGACCTTCATGCCCTTCATGCCCTTCATACCCTGCATGACCTTCATAACTTTCATCGCGCCATTGGCTTAAGGCTTTGGGGGAGCAACCATATGGTTTGATTTTGGGTGCCATGGGTCTGCGGGTTGGGTGAAGATAGTTGGCGGTGCACTTCTGGATAGCATCATTGTGTCTCTTGGCAATGGTCAGCAAGCAAAAAAGGTGGCGACCAGGGCGCATTTCGTTCAGGATGGGCGCGAAGTTGCAGAGCCATGCAAAAACTTGTTCGCAAATGTATGTGTTGAGTTTGGCAATGCGTTTTTCAAACTCCACCGATAACCTCAGAATATAAAAGACAAAGAAAAACAGTGAAAAAAATCTTGAATTGAACCGATTCAACCTCCAGATGAGAAACGTGGATTGCAGGGGCAAGTCTTGGAATGTGAGTGTCCATGAAAAGCATCAACGCAATAGAATTTGATCTGCTCGAACTCATGCAGAGGGCTTGAAAGAACAGGCTCTGTCATAGACCAAGCAGTCCATTTAGGTTCAGCCCCATGCAATTTCATGACCTTGACCACGGATTAGTTTGGCGATATACGCACCCTTGACCTTCTCATCCTTGACCATGTAGTGCTTGAGCAGACAAAGCTTCCCATCGGCTTGTGGCAGAAGGAAAAAAGAGAAAAATGTAGGCAAAGGTAGGACGAAGCTTCAAAGTCAGGACTTCCGGCAATTCTTCCCAAGCCTTGTCCCGGATCACGGCCTTGAGATTGCTGACATCTATGCATTGAGGATCGACATCCCACAACACATCCAAAAAGTCCTTGATGGACGGTGTGGACGAAGACAACCTGAGACACGACAGCAGATGAGAAAGAATAGGAGTATGATCAGCACAAGAAGTGGGAATCTATTTTTGAACTAAGATAATGCAAGGAACGCTTTGAGCGGCAAGGTTGACGGCGTGACCGATCCGAGTGGCAGGGGCCCTACGTGAACATGAGTCGGAAGTTCACGGAGAAGCAAATGTTCCGTAGCAGACATGGCATCTGCTAGGCGCATGTTATCCCCCTCCACAGCCATCAGGACACAGACAGGCAAGGATGCAGACCGGTTTTGCAAAAATTAACTAAGAGCCAAAAGAAGATAGAGTAGGTCAAAGGTTAGCAAAACCAAAATAAGCTTCGGTGGTATCCCCAACAGCCGCAACCTTTTATTTTTACAAGCCTTTCCGAAGCGTGCTGTGAAGCCAAGCGCTGGAAATACCTCAGCTGGGTCTGCACCAAAGCCTCCCAGAACCCTGTTGAACCTGACCTGGCTTTGCACCAAAGCCTGAACCTGACCTGGCAGGCTTCCTCCAGAACCTTCTCCGGAACCCTGTTGAAACTGACCTGGCTCTGCACCACAGCCTCCCAGACCTTCTCCGGAAGCTTCTCCGGAACCTTCTCTGGAACCTCGTTGAACCTGACCCGGCGCCTGCACCAGTGCACACCAGAGCTATTCTGGGCTGAAGACCCCATTAGCTTACGCTGTTGGGGGAAGAAAAAAAATAAAACCAAGAAGACCTACTGGGCCAGAGTGCCTGTGACATAGGGTTAGTTTTCTTGTTTTTTGTTTTTTTTGTGTGTTTTTGTTTTTTGTTTTTTTTTGGTCTTTTGTTTTTTGTCTTTTTCTTGAGTTTTGCACGCCTGTGTAAAGAGGAGTGCAAAAAGCGCACTCTCCTGATCCCCTGTTCTGCACTATATATATATAGGATAATGTATATTATGTGTGTGTGATATACTGTAATATATATATATATGGTATTATATATATACATGATATAATATAATATATATAATATAATAATACTAACAATAATAATAATATATGAAATAATAATAATATATATATGATATAATAATAATATATATATATGATATATTAATAATAATATATTATATAATAATATATAATAATAATATATATATATATATGATATTATATATATACGTAATGATACGTATATATAATATTATTATTATCATAGTAATAATAAAATACACATGTCACATAAATATCATATGAGATCCTGCTCTTATCACATCTGGCTGAGGCAAAGGCTCACAATGCTATCACAAGGAAAATAAGCTGTAGGAAGCTCGGCTTATCTCAAGCTGAGCCCAGAGGTGCTGTGTTTCTTGGCAGTGCACGTGCTCTTGATGGGTCATGTAGGTGTTTGACATCCTTTGCAAAAAGAGCGGAGATTTTTGACACTTTGACACATTCTGACTTGTACTGCCAGCAGAGTCTCAGAGTTTTCAACCTGCCATTCATCCATGGGTACTTCGATGTATCCTAGAGTGTCTTGCTAATCGACTTTCCATTTAAAAATATACAAAGGATTACAAAGGTATAAAAAGGTTGTGGGAAGGGGGTTCAACAGCCAATCAATATATAAAGACCAAAATAAGCCAAAGGTATGCTGCATTCACCGGTGCTGGTGACGTTGGTATCCGCTCTCGTCCGCAATCCACTGAAGCCAAAGCTTTGGTAGCAACAGCAGAAACCATAAATTGTGCTGCACCATGCATGCTTTCGAACTGAGGCTGAATGATATGCAGGAAATCCATCTATGACCTCCACTTCAAAAACGACCTGTTTCCTGACTTCTGCTGACAATCCTTCAAAGCAAGTTCATCAAATGCAAATCTTTTGACATGATGCAAGGCGTCACTGAAGCTGTTCAGCTTCTGAACTATGTAGCTAGGCACCACAGGCACCATTCAACCTGGCGGCCCAGAGGACGTCAAACCCAGGACATCTGTGTTGGAAATGTACCAGGACATCGACCAAGACATCACACTCAGAAGGGAGCGCAACGGGGCAGCAGCCAGCATTTACTGTAGCAACAGGGACAGCAGCTGGCAAAGCACGCAGGATTTTCAGCCAAGGACCTGTCTCATGCGTTCTATATTTTTAAAGGGGCCCAGGGTTAAACACGTTAAACACCCCCCCCAAACGAGTTAAATACTGCCCCCCAACGAGGCACTTGCAGAAAGTTCACGAAAATCTGCCTCGTTCAGGTCTCGGAGCACGGAACCTCAGTCTCCAGGGATTGCATCGACTTCATCAGTGTTGTGTTCGCAAGCAGCTACCTTTTCTCGCATGAATTGCATCACCAGGTCCACTCGGAGTCAGTGAAACGAATGCCCTGAAATCATGGCTGCATATGGAGTCTCATTGACATCAGGGAGTCAAAGCCCGAACTTGGAGTTAGTACCACTCGGGTCAGTGCGTTTTTAAGACTTCTTGACCACAGAAAATCATACCATGATGCTGGCTCCAGGGCTCAAGTGCACAAAGCTACACAATGCACATTCAAACAACGCCACTCCCACTGTACAAGGAGCATATGATATTCCAGTGCAAGTGCTTGTGGATTCACACCCGATGTGTTTATCTTGACTTGGGGGGGTCGTCTCTTCCACAAGCATGAGCTGAATGAAAATGCCAACAAGCCGGCGGCAAAATCATGCAGTTCTTCAAAGAGCTAATGCAATCGATTTTCAGAGTCTTCTGAGTCTATTCTACCAATTTGCATGCAACAAGCAACAAGACATGCAACTTGCTTGACAGGCGAGAGGTAGAACGCCGGTCGAAAAGGCATGCCAAGTCTCATCATTCTTCTCCCAGCAATCGCATCCTCATTTTGATGAGCTCGTCACGCCGCGCGTTCTCTACCTGGCACATGGCGTATATCTTCGAGCCAGTTGAGGCAGGGATCTCAAATGTCCCAAATCTACGAAGGACAAAGGCAACTCTGGCAACTGTGGCCGCTATGAACCTTCGACATCCTTCAACCATCTTCGAACCAAAGTATGTTTTTTCAGTGAAGCTTCTCCATCTTCTCCATTTCATCCAGTTTCTCTGGGAATTTCATGAAAAAAAAAACGACAGGATGCTGGCCTCAGCACCAACGAGAACCTGACCCCAAACTTCATGTTCTGCAGTGCGCTTTCGAGAGGTGCCATCGTCGGCCTTGATCTCCACAGTGCCTCGGCACACAGGTCTACGGAGTCTACGGCGTTTCGACATGCGTTGTTCATGACATCTCTAGAAAGTCTCTCAAATATCCAGCATTGTTCATCCTCCCGAGACAGGTGCAGTCTTGCTTCAAGACTTTTTGAGACTTTTGGAACTTAAAACCGGTTTTGCTGACAAGACAGCCCGGATGCCTCGTCCACCTAGTTCCATCTCCTCATCCTTGTTGCAGACGACCATTTCATCATCCATCTCATCCACAACGTGGAGGCGTGTGGTCTTTTGCCACATCCAGTGCTCTTTTTGCAAAATCTGGGTTTCCAGATCTTTGATCTCTGCATCAATCCGAGAGAGAGCCTCCCTGACAGCAACGCCTGCATCTTTGCCGGATTCAGCATTTTCGTGCTCCACAGCACTGCACATCTCCCCAAAACGCAGGCTTTGGACAGTCTCCTGAAGCAAAGGAGCAAGGAAGAAAAAAGGCTCACCCAAATTTGATTGGCTAGAAAGTGCAGAGTGCGTTTCAAACTTGAGATCACTTCACTTCAGTAGCTACATCAAGCATGACTACATGACCACAAAGTCAAGCAGTCCTCTGCGTGCAGATTTTCAGGAGCGCAACACACTACGACAGAAGTGCAAGACTCACCAGTCAGAGCTGGCTGCAGAAGCATTGTGAGCTTTGAATCATTGAAGGGTACACGAGGGAGACTTTGGCCTTGCTTTGCTCGCCGTTGCCTTTCGTTCAGAGCATGCACACATCGTTTTAAGGTCAAGAGGCCTTTGTTGATGTGGTTGGTTTCTGTGATCCTCTCACGGCATCGGTAGTATTCTTGCCATGTCACCCGGGAAACTTCTTCGTCTCCAACATTGACCCCACCGGGTGCGCAAAGATTCTCATTTGCTTTGCTCTTACTGACTTTTTCAGAGCCACCAAGATCTGCTAGAAACAGTTGCGATTCAACAAATGTCTCTTGTGAAGGTGCCCGCTGTCTCAAACGAAAGATCACAAGGGTGTGTGCTCGTGTACTTCGTTCGTTCATCTCCGTGGTCGCTTTTCTCTTGCGCTCGTTTCCACGCTGTAGCAATTCGTGGAAAGCGCTCTTGTCAGGAACTGGCTCCTCACAACGGCCCTCGAGGACATATTTGTGGCCCATGCGTTGACTTTGACCACGATTGATCCCCAAAGCACCACCCAAGAGATTGGTGATGTCATTGCCGAAGACCTCCACATAGCTAGCCCCGAAGTGCACTTCAAAGCCTTCCGAACGTCTTTGCTCAATGGCAGCCAAAACGTCATCTGCGATGGAGCTCACAAGGCCATCAGATCCATCACCAAACATGGTATGTGTCTTACCACTTCCTGTTTGTCCGTAGACAATCAAAGCACCACTCCTGCCATTCATCAGCCCCATGGCCAGAAGTAGACCGCAACCGCTGTGCAGGTCACTCTGTGAAGACCCCTGATCATAAACAAATTGGAATCCCCAATTCCTCAGTCCGATGCCTGGCGAGACAGTCAAAACTGACCCTGATGCCCCAGGCGTGACATTTAGAATCGATGCAGTAAAGCACGGCAAATCGGGTGCAGACTGAGAGTCATCTGGTCCCTTGGTCGCGATGACGGCAGCTTCATGCTCCTCCAGAATCTTCTCTGCGGGCTCTTCATTTTGCTCGACCTGATTTATCACATTGTTCATGTCAATCTCTGCAAGTGGCTGCCCGGCACCACACTGCTTGTTGAGCAACATCTTCATGGCTGCAGCACGGGAAAGCTCTGGAAGTTTCTGTTGCAGCAAGACCACTCTCTGGTTCAAAGGGAGTTGAACAATCTGAACTTCTTGCGATTCAGCTCCTAGCTCAGTCCCCTCAGAGTTTTTCCTCGGTGGTCTCACCCTGCAAAAAGTGGAGACACGAAAATGCTCAGTCTTGTGCTCTTTGTTTGCAGCAAAATTATATCGAAGGGTGGCAAGATCCTGGGCAAGGCCACGAAAGTCTGCTCCAGGCTGCAAATCTTTCTCAGGAGGTAAGTACAAGAGGCTTTCCGTGCAAAGGCATCTGCAAAGCCAGCGCCAGAAAGTCGCACTCTTGTCATCTGGATTGAAGAATAAGCGCACAGATTTGGAGGCACAAAGGAGGTTCAGATTTTGAGTCCATGGGAGCCAGCCGAAGATTTGGTAAACCATCCAGCTGTGCTCTGGGGCATCTGTCAGCAGCCGAGGCCAGAGGCCAGGGGCAAAGCTTTGCCCCTCACCCGCATTGTGGTGATAGCCTTGCCTCTTGGTCGGTGACTCGGGACAGCGCACCTGCGAGGCCCGAAATCGGGAGTGTCCCCAGTCAGTTTTGCGAACGCAAAATAAACAAACAGGTTGATCAAGAGTTGATCAGCGAAACAGCTGGTTTTAGCAGATCTGGATTTGGAAGCTGTCAACAAAAATGAGTTACTGTTCGTCTGACAGAAGCAGCCTGAAGAGCTCCACTGCCCATCTTTGCCAAAAGTGGGAATGAGCTGGAGCCAGAAGCTCAGCACACAATAAAAACAGGGTCCGTTAGATTCTCAAGGCTCGCAAGAGGCTCGCCATCAAATGTGACCATCAAAGAAACTTCAACCAACTTTCTGCCGAAAGCTCTCTGTCTCCGTCGCAATCTGGGAAACATGCCGTGGCTTTTCGGTCCGCTGGTTCCGAGCCTTGCTTGGAAACTCTTTCTGCTGACTGTTTCAAAGAGTCCAACCGCAGAAAGATCAGAGGTAGAATTGTTCCTTGTCCTCAGGATATTAAGGGTTATCCTATCATGTGGTTGGGAAACTCACAAAAACTAGTATAGTATATATAGCTCCTTTGGACTCCTTGGCTTCTCATTTATTAAGGGAAAAAGTAATCCCCATAGCTCATCATAGCTCCTTAGCTCCCTCCACTGGATGCTGATGCCATCAGGTTTGGTCACTGAGCCAGGCGCAGCGGAACTCCGATTCACCTTTGCTGACCAGATCTCTGCCTGGAATGTCGAACCTAGTTGAGCTTTCAGGTTAGAAGTTGAGCTATTAACATAGGGGAACCTATCAACTAGTATGAGATGCGACAATGGTATTTTTTATTGGCTCAGTTGCTGACAGTTGGAGAATAAACATTACCTTATATATCTTATATACTTCTTTCGTTACCTATGCAATCCATGATACCAAAAGAAGCAGAGCCTGGACAAGTGCAGTGGACATTTCGGGAACGAATCACAAAAACAGGAGAGGGGAAACTCTAACCAAGCTGAGCAAGGCCGGAATGACACACTGGCAGCCAGCGCAGGCAGTGGCTAACATCGCTCTACCGTGAAAATCACATATATATATATATATACATAATTATATATATAACCTGTGGCAAATTGTGTCAATCCACTGTAGTTTTCCCTGGCTACTCGGTTATAGAGTCTGTACATTGTTTCATTTGTTACGATTTGTTGCCGTTGAAATTCTGGTCCGGGTAGAACACCGCTATCATCATGTGTCACGTATTCAGACATGTCTTTGAAGCCATATCTTCCTCCCCTCCCTGTGAGAAACTACAAGATACACCAATTACATTAGTGAAAGGGATGAGGATGCCACGAAAGTGCTGACAATCTTGTGTAACCAGATGACAATGAGAAAGCTGTGATTTCTGTCCATCCTTTCCAACTAGCCTCATGACGACGAGCACGAGTCAGAGCACTTACAACGCTATTCAGACCTGGCCATTCCAAAGAAATGAAACAGCTGAGCTCAGCTGAGCTGAACAGCCTAAGTCATCAAAAGTGCCAGGCTCACTGGCCAAAGACACTTCCACGCCAAGACCTTGCATTCGTGGGCTACAACTATGTTTCTGTGACCAAGACACCTTGGCATAGCTTGGCATAGCTTGGCATAGCTTGGCATAGCTTGGCATAGCTTGACACTTGCAAAACCGCTTGTCAGTCCAGAGAGTGCAAAGTAAAACTAAGGGCCCTGCTTTCCGCTTCCGACAGCCAGTAGATAGCACGGTCGACATCCCCACCCTCAACGTCTTGGTTTGGAGGTGGACCCACAACCCACAGACAACCCACAAGCGACTCAGCATCCAACTCTGACCCAAGCTTGGGCCACCGAATTGTAGCAGAACCTCGACCCCAAGGCCCAAAGGCCCCAAGGCCCCAAGGTCCGTCTCAGCTGAAGAATTAAGTCCGAGACGAGCTCGGTTTATCTCCTTTGCTATACAAAGCTGAAAGCATTGCCTTCAACCTCAGTCTAGAAAAAAAAAGTCATCTGACATCATCTGACTGCCTCTCCTTAAAGTATCTTAAAGTTGTCCTCCCATTCAGAAGACTGTACAGCAACGTCTTCTTTAAGCGTTGATGTTCTCAGGGCAAGTCCAGTTGTCTGCCCGTTGCGGCTCCTGGCCAAGCTCAGATTTGCAGTCCGGATCTCGAACAAGGACAAGCAGGGTACCCAGGGTACGCGCTGCGCGTTTCTGTCGTGGCAAAAACATGCTTTTAGACATACTAAAACTATCTAAAACTCTACTGGAACGCTCTCCCATCTCAAGATTCTCAAGCCTGTGCAGCACCGCATGCGTGAATCACCTGCCATAAAGTGATCTGATCTTGCACTCATTCATAGCATCTCAGGCTTTCGTGTAGTCTGGGTTAACTTGGTTAACTTCAGATTCCCTGGCGAATTTGAGTCATTGGAATCTTTCCTTGTCCGTTGAAAAACCTGTGTACCATTCCACCAGCTGCCGCACCGTGCTGTAGGTGACATCATCGGGCTGTAGGCCATGGTTTGGCATGTCCCGCAGCCACTTCTCGGCACGGTCCAGATGCAAAGCCTCAGCGGTTCTGTCAGACGATCAGATGCTTCTGTTGCGCATGCGGAATCATTCTGATATATTCTGAATGATTCTGCCATAAAGTGATCTGATTTTCAAACATGAAATGTAAAGATATCTGAACTTACGCACGCTCTTTCGCTTCAGCATTCGTCGCATTTCAATGTCACTCCTGCAAACCATTGTCGCTTCCGAATAGGAACTCTTCAGATGGGCTTGGCGAAAGCTTCAGACCTTCAGCGCTGTCTTACAAAACGTGAGAAGAACCTGCGAAATTTGCAGATCGACTGCATATCCTGAATGTGACACAGACTTGCAACTTTGTGACTTTGGCTGTGCTCGACTACGATTCGGTCAGCGTACAGATTTTTTGTCTGAGAAAAGCGTTGAGATGAGTACCATCCATCCGAAACAAAGTCGCCGACGAAAAGGCACGGCACAATGACCCTCAGCTCAAGATCAGGGCAGGGATACCCCAGGATACCCAATTCCTCTGGCAGGTTACCCCACAAAGTCTCTAAGTCGGAAAGCGGTGAACTCTGGTCCTTTCAAAAGCTGAACCCTGGTGATTTCCTTTCCACACCTTTGGGTACCAGAGAGTCAAACTCTTGGAGTCTTCTTTCATCTTTTTGCATCTTTTTGCCCTGTCTCCAAAAAAGTAACAAAATGTAACAAGATCAAAAACAACTTCATCGAATCCAAAGAACTCACCAGTGGGTCCACTTGCATAGGACTCGAGTCCACAGTCTCGAGGTGGCCCTCCTCCACTTACAGATTCAAAGTGGCCAGGATTGATGGCGCCGCTAAAGCTCACCACAAAGCGCGGGAACGTGTTCAGGCGAAAGCGCGGATCCCCCTGATGTTTCAAAAGGGCCAAGGTGTGAACCATTTCTGCTCCTTGGGAGAAACCCAGAACCCCATCGAAGGGCACACCAGCTTCTTGTGCCATCTCAAGTTGCTCTGCAAGTTTGGTCGTTGCCAGTTCCATCTCGGCCCAATCAACAGGCCGGTCTCCATAACCATCTTCATCGTATCTCCACCATTGACGACCACCTTCACGTCGGGATGCTTCAGCCAGTGGGCCGGAGACACAGCGGCACTCAACCGCCAATGGCAACGCGTCACCATCGCCGATTGCATCCGCTAGCCCAGTGGCCCCAGTGCCGGCTCTGCCGTTGAGGATGCTCTGAAAGAAGACTTCCAAACTTCCACAGAGCCTTTCAGGGGTGCCTCCGTGCCCATGCAGGCAGAGAAGGCGCAAATTGGGGTGTGGATGCGGAGCCAGATCTGCAGCAACACTGATGGTCACCATGGGGATGTGCCACCAAGTGACCAGCAAACCGAAAAAAATGGTCCGTCGTGTTGAAGCCAACTACTTGAAACCTACTATAGCCTATAACTTATAACTATTCATTGAAGAATCCATTAAAGCCAAGTATCAGATATTCATTGAAACCGATTATAGTATAGTCGATAGATCCAACACGCAGGCCTTGATTCATGTGTTTATGATTTTGATCTTGCATGTTGATGCTACCGGCACACAAGACTGTCACTGTAAGATCTGAGGCACCTGTATACACACACAGCCCTACTCTGCAGCTAAATGATAATTCATGAAGAAGCACTAAGCTTCAGCCTGTCTAGTAACTCTTACTTTGAGTGTCAAGCTCAAATGGCTGCAAGTCCCTGTTGGTCGAAGGATGTACAACACGTCACAAGAAGTTGCGCAATGCGCAGGCGCTAAGGCTTTGAGGCTTTGACTTTGGCACACGCGTTGATAAGGGAGTTAAACGTGAGAACGCCAGGCTGCACGCCCTGCTTGACCATCCTGACGGAATGGACGATCTCCTCTCTTGGACGACTAAGATGTTTCCCTGGGATTGCATATTCCCACCTTCCACCACACCTCAAGTCTACCAGTCTACCTGAAATTTCCCAGAATTTCCCTGAGCCCTTAGCTTCTTGAACCAATGTTCTGCACGCTCCACGTCGCCACCTCTGGGAACCAATGCGATCTGATTTGGAACCTGATGGGACCCACCCACTGAGCATCCAGCAGCGTGCACAGGCCTGGCCGATTCAAACCCCGCACAACGGGACTAGGTGGGACTAGGTGGGACTAGGTGGGACTGGACGAGATCAGTGTATGCCGTGTATGCCGTGTATGCCGAGTATGCCGAGTGCAAGGCGTTGATGGCGCTGTTGAATGTGACAACGTTTGCCTGCACCTCTGAGGGCGCAATGAGTAAAAGTGTTTTAGACATTTTAGACCGCTAAATTGTGTCAAGTTCTCTCAGGATAGAACGCCATCCTGCTCCATCTGCTCAATCCAAGCCTAAGACTGCGATGGCTCGATTATGCTGAAGCACAGATGACACCATGACAAGGAAGAGGAGGCAAGTATTGCCGTAGGGGTCGAGAAGCAACTTCGTCAGTCCCTTTGCAGCTGGGCCACTTCTGCACGTGTCAGATCGCTGGCTTTGGCACATGCCTTATAGGACACCAAAGAGCCAAAGAGTGTTTTTTGTCATAACCCAATGCCATAAGCCAGCCCATTAAGCAACCTTTTGGGAGATATTTCCTGAGTTCGAGGCGTGGATCACAGAAGAGTAACTCGCAACATCTGCCTGTGTGAAGGCACTTTTCGGCTTGCGGTAAACAGAAGAACAAACCATCCCCAATTTGACCAGAAATGGGTGGTTTTTTTAGCCATTCCCAATTTCGGGATTACTATTGGGTTTACCACACTAATATGCATCATGCATCATTATGCCTTGTTCCTACGATGATGCTTGAATTTCTGTCAGCACACAACCTGCGTCGATGATGCCCGCATGCGCTTCAACCAAAACTCTGCTCGATCTACATCTCCCTGGCTTCCGCTTTGGGCACAGCATCTGAAGTTGTAGATGCACATTGCACATGATGGCACACATTTTTGAATACTATGGTTGAGATATTCATATTCCTATTATGTCCTATTCATAGATATTCATATTCAAATTTCTTATCTTTTTAACGTTTTTAATGCAAAAAAACGATGCCAAACTTCGAAACTTCACCTTTCGTGCGCAGGCAGAGATCAAGGCATTGTAGGTTGAGCCCGTGACCTCAGAAACAAGCTGAGAAAAGGTAGAAAACAATACAACGATATTTGAGAGCCATCACTGAATCACTAAGCCCGTGCGTTTCAGATGCTCTTCAACACTGTTGAAACGGTTTTGAAGCACCTGAAGGAGCCTTCTTTTATTCTCTGTTGCTAAGTCCAGAATCCAAATGGGGTTGTCATAGAGATTCCCGTTAAACTATCATGATTCATAGAGTTATCATGATCCCCAATCGTCCCCAATCTATTTAATCTGGTTGGTGGTTTCAACCCCTCTGGAAAATATGAGTTCCAAACCACCAACCAGTAATCTATTACAGTATCATGTATTATGATTGGGGATCATGATATTATTCATGAAAAATCATGATCCCCATCCATTATCATGTATTATCATGGTTTCTCATGGTTTCTCAGCCCACTGAATTTTGATCTTCAATAAACTGCCGAATGGAGCACCTCCACAGCCGCTTGCTCCATCCGTTTGAAGATTCGCTCGACCCTGCTGATGTCGCCCATCTTGGCCTTGGACGCTGAGTCATCTCACACTTAAACATCGATGGTCAAACAGAAGTGAAACATGATGAAATACTCATGAAATACTGATGATTTTTTTCATACGAGACATGACTACAAAATTGGGGCTTCATTTGACTTGTGGTCGCCCCGGAAGCCGAATTGTTCAGTGACACGGTGACAGTAGTTTAAGTCTTTGGCAACTGCGTTGACCAAAAGGCCGTATGTGCCGGAGCTGACCTCCACATTCGACCAACTCAAACGGCGTCGTTCCATAAATCGAGATCTGGACAGGGAATGTGCTGCTAAGCAATGCGTCGACTCTCCAGAAATTTGGGCCTGGAGTCCTGATCCTTCCATCTTCTCCAACCTCAGAGACAGTGGGGGAAAAAAACTCCAAGATCTACAGTAGATTACCCAAACATCTGTGGTGAAATTTCATACTGCCGTGCAAGATGTGCGTTAGGCTGCAACCATTGCTCGGCGCGATGCCTTAGCATAAGTTGAAGTGTCATGAATGTGGAGGCCTAGTGGGTGGTAAAGTGCTGTGTTCAACTGTTGAGACTGCCACAACTCTCCACTTTGGGCAAACGCGTCGATCCTCAGTGAGCTTCAGTTCAAGCTTAAAAGCACTTGCTGAGTGACAAATCTCAACACAAATGAATGAAACATACCCAGTACACAAGTGACTACGTTTGAGCCATCTGTTGAGACTGCCTTATGGTTAAAAAATGATCTGGGTTGCGGGCATTGTACAGTAGCTGACAGCATCAGCCTTGACACCAGCCTTTGCCATTCGGCACAACCAGCCCTCGGCTTTCTTGGCATCCTGAAAACAGAGATTGCTTAGAGAAACGGTTTCAGAATGGTATGGCTCGTTCATAATGACAAAGGGCAGACTAGATCAGTACATGGATGTATTGCATTGCATAGAGGAGTTGTGTCCGGAACAGCGGTAAATGCTGTCCTCCTCCTGCGTACTGTCTATCTCTTCCCGCGGAGTGAATTCCGGGACTTTTCGAGTTGGGCTTTAACTTCCGACAAATGTTCTGATGGCAAACATGAAACGACGCTTTGTATGCTGAAGAAACCGAAGAAAAATGAGCAGCTGCGACATTCCTGTGCAGAGAACTGTCGCTTTGGTTTCCATATGGAGATGTCCTGAAATGGGGGTAGCCCAAAATAGATGGCTTATAATGGAAAATCCATCTATAAATAGTTATAAATGGATAAATAAATGGTGGTACCCCATGACTTAGGAAACCTCCATATTGCCAGAATGATCCCCTTGTGCCCAGTTCATCAAGTCCTTTGCCCGCATACAGACCGCAATAAATGCATTGTATGTCGCGACCTCAGACATTGTGAAGGAAGCTCAGAGTTCCACAGAAGTCTGTGGCAGGTGTTCAATGCTCGGGTTGCTGACATCAGGCTTCATTCCGGCTGCGTGCATCTCTTCCA